AAGCCTTGTGCAGACATCTCTCAGAGTCTGAGTCCAGGTTAGTGTCAAGCTATATATATTGTATGATAATAATACGAATTTTCCATAACAATTTAAATCTGCAATTTAAATGAGCAAAGAGTTGTTAAAAATATATTTTTAATGATCATATTTGTTATTTATATGTAATTAATATATTATATAATTTACAATCAGTTTTTTCTTAGCAGAAAAAATATATTTGTGAATAAAATGGATATATCTCTTTCTTGTAATATAATTGAATTTTAGATATGATTGAAAGATACTTATTATTCTTAATTTCATAGACATGATGTGATTTCAGTTTGGAGATGGAAGAAGAACGGCACTACAACGAAATCGTGATGTCTGGAGGGAACATAAGGACACGCACATTGTCCAGTCCTGTGCCCTACAATCCTTCGCCTAGTTCCTCAAGGCCACTAAGCCCAGGTAAGTTTTTAATGTTTTTTTAATCTGACTTTTGCATAAATAAAAAATCATAAAGAGCATGTATAAGAGAGATAGAATATAAAATTTATATATGAATAGAGAATAACGTGGTATATGCAAGTGACTAAAGCCGGCGCTTTCTTTTCTCTGGATGCACGTTTTGCGTTTAGCGAATTCATGCGAGTACGCGTTTTATCATTAGATATTAACATGCTAGGTTCAACGTCCAGAGAGGGTTTCAATGCAAACCGGTGCTACGCCTGCGGCCAATCGACTGCCTCCCCCTTCGCTAGCTCATCACCTCCTTCAGGGGTAAATTATCACATAGAGAAATGGTGGTAATGCTGGAAACTAATTGATTACTCTTTAAATACGCTAGTCTTTCTTTAACGTAAGATACTCTTTTTCAATTAGTATCTAGCATTGCTCGACGATCGCGATGAAACGCGCTTCCTGGCGCTCTAAAAGAGAATTATTATTTATCTTTACTCGCGAATGTTTGCGCGAAACAGGGACATATCGTGGCACCGTCCAGCAGACGCACGTCGGATCGTTTCGTCAAACCGGCAATACCGCCCACCATCGTGAGTCCTGGCGGACCGCCGACCATCGCTCCCAATCCCACGGCAAATGTCGCCGCTCCCCATCCAGGATCACCGATGGACATCGCGAAGACATAAGTCGTCTACTCGAAGAGAAAAGGGCTCTCTATGGAAACTCTTTTTATGTAGTTCCGCACGCAAGGTACTTTTTTTAAACGGTTTGCGTCCCAGTTTAAAGAGGACACGCACTTCGATCGAAACACATCACCATCGACACTTTTTCTCTTCGAAATCTCGGTTCGTAAACTACTACTTCAGCTCTAATGTAACACACGGGCTACCGCTAAGACACGGGACTTAAAATAATTCCGATCTGAATGGCAGTTATAGAGTTTAAATGATGCAATTATGAAGTCTGTCGGTCGCGGGGTGCTTCTTCTCGACACCCCGCTTCCTCAACGATTCCTTTTAATGCCTGAAGTACCATTCAGACCGAGCTATTTATTGTACGACGCAATTAATATCGTTTGAGTGTTCTATATAAGAAAAAAAGAAACATTGACATGTTGCTTCCATGTTCCAAGTAATCATAATATAAATGTTGAGCGCGAACGCCGGATGGACATCTACACGGCATATTTGCGATATTATTATTGTATCTTATTGTGCGTTTAAGAACGTAAACGAAAGTAACTAGGGTGTAGTGTTGCGATGTTAACACGATTTAACAGGTATGCATTTTGTTTAGCTTTGAGCCTGAGTAATTATTTAACGCTACAGACTTCTATATATTTTACTAGACCACTAACACAGCTAAGTCAGCCATTCTTCTAAGTGGGTAGAATTTGATATGCGTGTCTCTCGATAAGATAATACAGAGAACATATATCTTAAAGTAAAAATAGAAGAGTGAAAAATATCAAGCATGCATCTAATGCACATATAAAAATAAGAAATATGTCAATAACTTGTAGCATATTTGGCTGTCCACTTAAAAATGGCTGCTCTTGCATCGAGGCAGTCCAGTATAATATACATATAAAAGTCTGTGTTTAGCACACATTATTGAAGTGAAAGCATAATTCTACTAAAGGAAAGGTTTGGTTAGTTCTCTCGCAGAGATTATATTAGATCTTATGAGTATGCAACCAGGCTAAATTAGATTTCAGAGAGATATTAGTGATCCAAGATATTGAGATTTGAGAAATTTTGAATTCAATGATCGTGAGAATCTGACAATTTATAAGGGCTTAAAATTCCAAACAATCCAACGATCTGAAAATCTAAAGCAGACTCACTGATCTAAAATATATGTATTTTGAAAGTGTTTAAGCATTTAGGTGTCTATAAATATACAGGCATATAATATTTAAAATAAATATTTATCACAGAATTGTAAGTCCAAAAATCCAAATATTTGCAATCACAATAATTTTAAAATTTTATTTAAGAAAAATTCATTCATGTAAAAAAGAGCCTAAAGATATTTTTCTTAAAGCAAAATTTTTAGATTATTAGCTTTGCAAGCTTGACGTTTTTGAAATATCTGCTTTCAGAATTTCTAGATGTCTTTTATTACAGAATTTCTAAAAATTTTGAATCTTAACACTTAGAAAACATGGCGCATTCGAAACTTAGATTCTTTGATCTCAAATTTCTGAGCTATAGAATGTCAGAACGTTGGAATTTAGAATCTTGAAGCTCCGATACGTTGAAGCGGCGAAGCCTGGAATCTCGATAAGCATATAGCGCATGAGAGAAGATTTTGCATATAATACAAAAATCTTTTTGTTTGCTGATAAATTGTTTTTTATATCAATGATACATATGCTTTAGCTCGAGATGCGTTGTTTGTTATGTTATAACGAATCAGATTTAATAGTATTTGTTCTTTAGGAGCGTTGTTTCGCAAATACGCAAGTTTGGAATCCTTATTCTTAACATTTCTACACTTTCAATAACTCTAATATTTGTGCAAGTTTAGAATTTTATTTTTTAAAGTTTTTACCTTGATACGCCTATTTTTTAAATCTTTGAAACCTATTGTCTTAAGTTGACAGAAATCTGGAAGTCTTGCGATTTTAAGGAATGTTATAAAGGTTCAACACATTAAAATATCGTACGTGTTTTTTTTTTTTGTTTAAAACTTCTCGATACCTCTCAATATGCGTCAGTTACCATGAATTATGACGTGAGAAGCAGAAGAATTTGAGAAAAATGTGCGACGTTATAAAGCGTTTAAGCTTATCCATGCGAGCGATTTTCTCGCATTCCTTCCCTTCCGATCTCGTAATACAAGATAACTAACGTTCTATACGATGAGAATTCCTGTTTATTAAAACAGGTGTATTATATATAAACGGTACACAGGAAAAAAAAATTTACAGGTAACAGCGTTGTTCATTATGTTATATTGAACAGTCGTATATATGATATAAAAGTTTATTATAACGTAAAAGATTCTTATCAATAATTGTGTAATTACGCAGATATGCTTCACAGCTGCATAGTATGTATTTTATTCAAGCTTTTATGAAATACAGTCACGTTTTTGCTATTGCACGTTATCTACCCCTTTTCGTTATATGTATAATGTTATTTATTTAATATAATTAATTTTATAATTTAATATATATTATAAATATATTAATATTTATAAATATAATTTAAAAACGTACTTTATACACACACATATATATATATATAATTTAATAGATATCGCTTCGTCGATAATACAGAGTTTCTATAGTTCGATGTATCTTTTATCAATATATGGTTTGCGTCTCGATTGTATAAATGTTAAATAGTGCATTGCATTATCGATCCATGAAATTACAGAATCACCTGCATTATCAGTGATATATCGTCACGATAGCGGGGAAACGAACATATTCTCTGATTCGTGCCTCGTTCAGTCTCGATGCACGTGTTTATAGAACAGACGATTTAACAGTGTTGAAAAAATGTCATCCGTTAATCGTCATTGTACCCTTTAAAAAATCGCTTATCTCGTTTGAACATGTCGTAAGTACGTAATATATTTTTCAAGAATCTCCAAAATGGAGGCTTATCAGCCTCGTATACAAACGTTTTCTCGTCCTATTAATAAATTTTAATCGTTAATCGCGCGCGCTATTTGCAGGGTGTAAACGACAGACTATATTCTGTTGCTTCAAGATTGTTAATTTTTTGCTGCTGATAACACGCAATTAAAGAGTACTTAGTGTCTGTGAAATAGATTGCCGGTCGTAGGAGTCTCAATATCAGGACATTATGAATTCATGCAGTGAAAAGAAGAATGAGGTTGTATTGGCACAAGTCCTGGATCTATTTCTCCTGCCAGATTACAATGTCGTCTCGACAACCTATTTAGATCACTTGCTCAGCCACATTGCGGAGAACACAAAGCATTGTAAGTGAAGAATGTACTATATTGCTTTGTGTTACCACGTTTCAATATATATCTTGCAATGAATAATCTTCGACATAAATCATACAGGTGCTACAGTCGATTATGAATATTGTGAGGTCTTTCAAAAATGGATACCAAAGGCTTTGGCTGTATGGGAATCTGGACAGAAGGTTTCACAGCCTGTGATTACATTTACGCTAAAACTTGTGGGGATTATCTCGCGGCATGAACTACGTTATCATTATTGGCAATGCCAGGATGTGTATAATAGACTCTATAAAATATTGCAATTGCATAGAGACGACTTACCTGCATCTATTAAAATGGCATATACAATAATGCTGTCAGACTTGATTGTTCATCGAAGTGGCAGACAATGGGTAATAAAATCTGGTAAGCATTTTATAAAATTTTAAATGATGATTAATTTTTAATATTTATTTAGAATTGTATTGCGAGAAACAAAAGAATAAAAGCATTATATTTTCGTAAACAAAAATAACATGTAGAAAATTATAAAAAAATTTTAGTGTATTCTAAACTCTTATATATTATTTATTTACAAAAAATGATATAACTAAATTATTATTCTCTTTCTATTTAAACGCGACAGGCCTGTGGAGGGACGTCGTGAAATGTGCACACTGGAATCACACAATGTATGTTACAAGGGAGAGTCAGAAATTCTTATCGACGTTGTTGTTACATGAACAAAAAAACGTCGAGGCCTGTACAGAGATTATATTGGCAGTTGCTGCTCCTTTAATGAACAATACTGTAGATGCTCAGCTGCATCAAGCGCTCGAGGAGACCTACCTGGAACAAAATAGGTTGTTATGTGCCACATTGGACTTATTAACCAGTATCTTAGAGAACACACTGTTTGCGAGTCTGGACAATAGCATTCCCGAACTGCTCGAGAAACTCGTAAACCTTGAGATGCGGGTAAAAGCGCTATTCGAGGCATGCATCAGCACTCGTTTCCTCCAGCACGTGCACAAATTGCTGCTGCTGTTGCTGTTCTTAAAGCTAAAGCAAGGAATCAAAGAACACACTGATCTGATTGATGCCGATGCATGGCAAAAGTTCTGTTATGGTTTGTGTTATATATCTATGATGTTACTCTCAAAGAAATATATCATAGAGTTGGTGAGGAATAACAAATTTGCCATGGTATACTGGAAGAAGCTGCTCGCATTACGAGAGATTGTTTTGCCAGAGGAGCACAAGTTTGAACATCAAGCTATCGCTCTCATGGTAAGCCACTGTTTATATCATACATATCTGTACATATGCAAATATGTGTATGTTTAAAAATTAGTATTAAAAACAAACCATATACTTTTGATTTGTATAAATAGATATTACCATTGTGCGTGTGTATAAAGAAGAATCATCTAAATCACGATTTCTTTGATATGTTCATTAATAAAATTTTCGATGTAACGTGTACCACTGTGCAAAGATTAGCATACAACATAAGGGATATCATATGGAAGGGAGATCTTCCGACAAATTTGTAAAGTGTCTATCGATCTGCTGCTTGAAATATTAGATATAATGGATAGAGTGAGTATCTTCTTGAATTATTTATATAATTAATTTATTATTTTATTTTGCAATTTACAATTTGTAATTAAAATCTACAATTATTATTTTATTTTATTTAATCTCATGTATACAAAATTTATGTATAATTGTAAGATATGTTAATTGAGCTTATAATTCAATAAACATTTCATATTTAAATTATTGCACCATTTCCAAATTATAGTTATAAATAATTGTGTTCACACTAAATATAGATTTTGAGTTCTTATTAACTTCTCTTTGATTACTGTGATCTTTTCCAGGATGTAGCGGTTATCGCCTTTCAAGCTTTATGCCACGTTTTGAAAAGTTACTTGCCAGACTTGTGTGGGGAAACAAAGAATCATATGTCATCGAATATGAACAGCACCTCTCCTTCAGAACATGTGCGAAAGTTTCGTTATAAATCAATATTTGAAGGTGATCCTATAGTGCAATATCCTATTTTACTGGCGTCATTACTCGATGGATTAGCTATCATGACGGAGAGATTTAAACTGAAGTGGCAAGAATGCGTAGAAACAATATGCGTATTATCTCTTGCACAAGGAATCCTCAATCATTCTGAAATATTACCAATAGTAAGGAATTGATTCCCAAAATTGTATTAATAGATTCATGTTTTTTTTTCATACAAAAGGAATTTAATTGTAACTGTTTGAAAACTTAGGAAAAAAAGGATGACATAAGTCTTTCTCACAAAAATTCTCAATTCCTACTTAGATTTGCGTGAAGGCGTTGAAGCTATGCAAGCTCGCCATCCATAACTTTATGCCTCCTAATTTGGCGCTACTCGTGGATTCGGACAGTCACATGAATGGCATAGGGCCTATACTCTTCAAGAGGCTACACGATCCCAACTGGGAAGTAAGAGACAGCGTACTCGAAGTTCTCAATACCATCGCAACGATTTCCGAAAACAGTAAGTGAATCAGAATATAGGGTAGGATTGGTACATATGTAGCCACATATATGAATCTTGTAATTATCTGTGTTTCAGGTAATATAACTGAAACAACAATGAATAATTAATATATATATACAAATATACACACAACAAATACAGCGTGATCTTTCTGTCGTAGAATATCCAGCGTTTCAAGACTTCTTGTTGACAAATCAATTTCCGAAAGTGGCTATCGAAATCGCTAAAACGGATGGCGAAAGTTACGTGCGAGCGTCGGCATTAACTTTCATCGCGACTATCGTGCGCATCAACAAACTGTGGGAGCAACAATTGTCGCAAGTAAATTTAACTGTAAGTATTATTTCTTATTGATATACATCTTCTGAATATGTCGTTGAGGAAGACGAGAGATTACATGAATAAACCGATTGTTACAGGAAATGGCGATTTATTTACTCGAGAACGAGAACGAAGCGATAGTCAGAAGGGAGGCTGTGAATTTAATGAAGGAGTTATATGTCCATCAGAAGTGGTCGTACGTAGAACTTTTAAATATGTGGATTAATGGTTAATATATTGGATAATTGAGTAATCATTGATTCGCAGAAAGGAAGTCATCGATTCGATGTTGCGAGCGATGTCCGTGGCGGCTGTATTCGATCTGCATTGGGAGGTGAAAACGAACGCATTAATGTTTTGGGATCATTTCGTCAAGTCGCATTTGACAGATCAGGGAATGCTCGACGACTCATTCCCAAACGTGACGTTCTCTAAGGAGCACAGGAAGATTGTGGCGTTGAACGAGACAGAAATTAAGAAGAGGCTAAATAAAGCGCTGGACGAGTTGGCGAGGCAAAGTTGCCTAGGTGTAAGTAATTGTAATAGAACTTGAAAATTTTGACCTCGATTACTAATCTCAAGAATACAAACTTTATATCCTTAAATCTCTTTACATGCAATCAAGAAAATAAATGAGGGCATTTAATTCCTAAATAAATATTAATAGCAAAATATATTATATATCTTTCAGGTGCTTCTGGTCACTTTGAAGGACGATAGCGATTTCGAAGTATGTAAAGCATCCGCTACGATAATCGGCAAGCTGAAATCCTGCCTGCTCAAGTACAAACTGGACGAACCGTTGTTACCAGTGGAAAACAGCGCGACGATAGACACTGTCTACATTAAGGAGACATCGCCGGTACCCTCGTCTCCTTCCGATAAGGAAACGAGAAACGCTTCATATGTGATCGAGGAAATCGTGGACGCGAACGATACCAATCTGTTGGCGGCTATCTACAAGAGTTCCATGAACATGGACGGCGAAGTGGTGATGGAGGAGGAAAAGAAGATGCTTGATTATATCTCGTCCGTGACACGCCAAGACTTTCTTCGCGCGATCTTCAACTGCGACATCAACGCTTACATCGAAGAGAAGAACCGTTGGTTAAAGACATATACCAGTAGCTTCGAATCGATCCTGGACGACATACTGACGATGTACAAACAGAAAGATATCAATTCGATGGACTGTTACTAATACTACAGTGCGCACCTTAAACTACTCCGACGTTCGGCGTGTATGATTTGCATTCCTCCCTTTCCCCTATATCAGAAGAAACTAACGAATGCCGACTGTCAATTGTATAGTTATAAATATCAGACACTTGAGCATAAATTAATGTATATTTTTAAATATATATAATGGTTAAAATTGCAAGCCGGTTATTCGACCGCACTATTTTGTTTTTCACGTATATTTTTTAACCTGTTTTGACGTCCTTTGTTTTTTTCCCAATACGAAATTTATCTTTTTTTTTTTTTTTTTATATATCTGTATACATATATAATGTATAAACTGATTCTTTTTGCTCAGTTATCAGGTTTATTTTGGCTAGACATGTAAGCCGGATCCTTGAACACATTATAATTAATGCGAAATAATGAAGAGAGTTATTTTCGATGTATTTCATCAATTCACAGTAACGCGTAAAGTATAAGTCGTGATGTACGAAAAAAACTGATTTCGTAATCTGTAAAAAGGAATTTCCGCTTCTGACGTCATAATAGGATAAGACTTCCTTGAGAGATTTCTAGAGATATTTTTTTTCAGTTCGATTTTTGTGTGTGGCAAAATTTTCATATATGAAGTATATCTCGTATCACTACGTGCGCGTTCCTGAAGTTAGAATAATATATTTGTTGATTTTCCTGTGCGTATATTTTCATATGTGTGTTCATATTGCGCGTTTTTTTGTTATCTGTACAAAGTTTTCGACGAATCAAACTTTTAACCGTTACGAAGAAGTAAACGATATTCGTTAGTCGAGTGTTTACATATCATCTTCCGCTTTTGCAGATAACGAACGATAGCATCAGCGCGCTTGTGTATCACATTCAAAAAGAAGAACTGAGAAGAAAGAGTAGTGTATACTGTGGAGGAATTGTCTGTAGTCATTTTCAATTATTTTTATTATTGTATGAGTCCGTTTGGTCCTAACTCTCGGAGGAAAATAATCCGAGCCCGAGCAAGAAGAACAACTTCTCTACCGTCTGTTTTGTCAGCATCAAATATTGCGGCCGCACAGAATCGCGATACTATCATGTCAACATCTTTGGAAAATTCTCTGGAAGAAGAACGTTATTATACTGTCGACAACTTTGGAAAAGGTGTTTTATCTCCCGGAAAAGGAACGAATATAGACGAACAGGAGGAAAGTACAGAGACAGAGACAAAGACGAACGAAAAAGTGTAAGTTTGATGTCTTATTTTTTCTTCTTATTTATACACATCGCTACTAAATAATGGTGATGTCGAAATCGCAGACGTCAAGATAATAGATGAAAACAAAAAGCATGCGATATGAAATACAATTAATTAAAATCAAAGTGAATGAATAGATAACTAAACTGAAAATTATGAACTATTTGTGTAGGGAGATGCAGGAAGACGAGAAGGAAAATTTGCAATGCAATCCAACGAAAGAGATGTATCCATTGGGTCTCAGAAACTGGCCAATCTTCAATCTACTAAAGTTGGAATTTATCTCACAAATTCGTACAGTTATGGTATATGGTAAGATTTACTTTTTTTTTTGTTTTTTGCTGTGTAATATTGTTACTTATGCTGTAGTGTTGTTAAACAGGTGACTGTGGTAACAGGGCTATAATTGTGACGAAGGACAAGAATGTATACAGCTTAGGTTATAATAGAGATGATCATTCGAAGACTGATCATTTCAACAGTGACACACATATAGGAGGTGACTGTGGTAACAGGGCTATAATTGTGACGAAGGACAAGAATGTATACAAAGATGATCATTCGAAGACTGATCATTCGAAGACTGATCATTTCAACAGTGACACACATATAGGTATCTATCCAAAAAAGATAGAAGAACTATGTGGAAAAAACATAAAGACCTTTGCTTGCAGCTCGTATCTTGTCCTGGCACTTACAGAAGAGGGAGAGGTATATTAAAGAGTTCATATCTCTCGAATGACATTTGAATTTTTGAAAATAAATTTTAACTTGCTTAAAGATAAGAAAAATGCGATGATAAGTTTGTTATTAGAAGATTTTACAGTTTTTCTAAGTCCTGAACTCTTCTTAAGAAGCAAGTAGAAATGAAAATTTATATTTATGTCTTAAGATATTGTAAGAAGAAAGAAACTATGGACACAAATGGCCTGATTATATTATTTGAGAAATATTATAGTAAAAATTATTAGAGTTGATTATATCATTCACACATTTTTATAATATTTTACAAGTACAAGAAAACATTCAATTTTTTTTATAGCTATCAACTATGGCCAGTGAGTTTATATAAACTTATCAAATCGAAAAGCATTTAGTGAATAATGTCAAACTTCATCATTGGCCTTTTATCAAGTCTTTTCTAGCAGTGCTTTTATATATACTCAAATGTAACATTCTACATATACAACAAGATATTAAAAAATGTATTAGAGCATTACTATTATGTGTATGTGAAAGGTTTATTCCTGGAGCTTTAACAAGAAGCACAAATCAAACGTCACGCCCACACCTACTCGAGTGGCCGGCTTAAGTGAGAAACGTATCGTGGATATCGCATGTGGAAGTCATCATTGTCTCGCTCTGACTAGTGATGGACAGGTAAACAAAGGTTGAATTATGGCAATGATAACGAATATAGTGATTATTACAAACTAAAGAATTGTTTGTAATTCAGGTGTATGCTTGGGGAGAAAATAATTTTGGGCAGGTTGGTAATGAAAGCACAGCTATCTTCGATGGCAGTCTGCCGAGACAAGTGAAACATGATTTAGAAGGAAAGACAGTTGTCCGCATTTCCTGTGGCTCAACATTCAACATGGTTATCACTGACGAAGGCAAATTGTATGGTTGGGGCAACAACGAGAATAACCAGATTTCAATCGATAATACTTCTACTACCTCAAACAATTTTTTTCATGCCCTTAATCCATCATTCTCTAATTCAACATCGTCAAAGTTGATGTTCAACGATAAAACTACTTCTTTTTCTATCCCCAACATTCAATTTGGTAGCAATTTCAAGTATCCAAATACCTCCCAATATACATTTATGAATACAACTGCAGCGCCCTGCTCTACGAAAACAGCAAATAATGTTCAGTTATTAAAACATTACGTGTGCCCACGCCAAATTACCACAATCTCGGACAAAATAGGTAAATTTTTTTTTGTTTATATCTGAGATTTGGTTTTTAAGAATGTTGCAGTATCGAACATCCTTATGATCGATGTTGATGTTTCAGTTAATGTGGCCTGCGGTGACGAGCACACGTTGGCGCTCACGGATAAAGGAAATGTCTACGCCTGGGGCAAGAATAATAACGGACAAATAGGCGTTAATATACTGAAATTCGAGAGTCCGAATATTATGGTAACCCATGAATTATTGATAAAAATTGAAAAACTTTTTAATAATGAATGAAACGAGAAACAGAATAATAAAAAATGATGCAATCGACAGGTGAACGTGGCCGAGATGGGAGAGGTGTCGGACATCGCTGCCTATGGTAACTTGAGCGTTGCCGTCGGCAGTAATAAAACTATCTATGTATGGGGCGACTGCTTTGGTCAGGATATTACCACTCCGTTTCCCACAAAGTTCTCCAAGATTGATGATGCGTTTGCATATAGTAAGTTGAGAGTCATGCACAAGCCATTAACTATATCTATGTACGATTACGAATACGTCGTAGAAGGATTGAATGTATTGGAATCCATAGCAGCAGCATTCGACGATCCGGTACGTCTTCTCGTATTATTTTTCTGTATGCACTTTTTCGTATTATGTAGCATAAAACCAGATATATATATCATTCTTTTTTAGAAAAATCTATAAATCTTTTACAAGTCTCTATAATCTTTTATACTAACCATCCTAATATGAAGAGACATTTATATATATTTTAATATAAAAGATTATAGAGACTTGTAAAAGACTTACAGATTTTTCTAAAAAAATAATTGTAAAACTTTTTTCTATATGAAGAAAATAAATTGTAATTGCATAATGATTACTTTGATTAAGACTTTTGATCTCACTTCAGTCACACTGAATTATAACATTAGAAGTGAAAAATTATGTAAATTTTTTACGATAAATGTTTATATTAATTTAATATTATTAAATCATTTTTTAAATAATTTTTGTTCTTTTCTGACACAGTCAACAACGGATTGTATTCTACAAGTCGAAGGACAACCTATCCATGTTCACAAGGCTATTCTTAAGATTCGTTGTCAGCATTTTAAAAAAAAGTTTCAAGAAAAAGGGACTGAAAATGATGAAAGGTAAGCATTTAGAAAAAAATGGTACTCTTATTGAGAATCTCTCAACCTCTTGGTTATTTCATAATGTCAGCAAGTTGTTTTTCAACAGTACACTAGATTCATCACCAGTATACACCATATCAGATAAATTTTCCTACATCGTCTACAAGGCCTTCTTGAAATATTTATATACCGGCAAAGTCGATTTACCTTCGAAGAACGCATTAGGTGAATTTGAGTCGAGTGTAAACTCAAATTATCACGAACTTACAAATCAGAAATTGAAACGACACTTCGTTACAGAGCTTATGAAATTGGCTGACGAGTACTGCGAGACCAATCTTAAGGGAGATTGCCGTGAGATAATAAAGCAAGAAATCAAGGAGTCAAATATAGCTTCCTACTACAATGAGGTTATGGAATGCAATGATAAGGTAAGTATTATAGTTCACGATTAATCGCTATTTATATTGAAATTCATTAATTGCGATGTATTGTATTTATTTATGTGTATGTATATATCATCGAATATCGTGTGAATTTTAGGAACTCGAGGAGTACTGCTTCCAGTTTATTCTGCATAACCTGACAGCTGTAATATTATCGACAGATTTTCATAAGTTAAATACGAGTATAAAGGATAAGGTTATGCGCATGGCAGCCGAAAAAGATCTTTTTAAAACGTAACTCTTTTAAAGGAACAGTTTCGACATAAGTTTCGAGTGAAATCGCCGATTGTTTTTTTTTATTTTTTTTATTTCTGTATGTGTGTGTCATACGCGTCCAATAATAAAGTAAACCTTCATGTTCCGGTTATCATTTCATAGTTTAACATTACATGTAATTTAGCTTATGTAATTTTATTTATCAGGATATTTTATTTTTTTATCGAGACAATGTTATTTATCTGAATATTTGCGGAATTCATTCAATTCCTCTTAAATAATAAATTTGATGTTATTCATAGAAAACTTTTTCTTCTCTCACTACTATTTTTTATCAAAACGTGAATACATAAAGGGAATAATTATTGAAAATATATTATCAAATACAACATATATGCATCGAGATAATGAAGGAATTACAAATAAATAATAACATTACAAGTTTAATAGTAAAATCATCTACAATATATAGATGATTTTATTATTTTATATAATATAGATTTTATACATGCAGTATGTAATTACAATTAAGCGTTTGATCAATTAATATCAAGAAGGAACTACAGGTTCATTTCAGTTTTATCAGTATACTTGATTCATATATTTTTTATTTAAAGTAATTGATTAATCGGATGGCGACAGAGAAAATCTCTTTGCATGAGTGGTTTCAAAGAATTCCGATTACAAAGCTTAGACAGTTTTCTTCTTTACTATTGAATGGCCACTTCTGATCTAGGGGGAGATCAAGACAGTTTTCTATAAAGCATAGAAATGATCAATCACCTATCACATATTTAATTTAAGTGTAGACTATCCGCCATTTGTTCCCGCCATATGTATGTTTAAAATACGGCGCGCGCAGTTCCGGATGGTATCATCCTAAGCTCAATATGACGAGGTTAGGATCGATTATAACAGTCAACCAAACAAGATCGGAGCGAGTTTGGACTGCGTTTAAAGCTGATTGAGAAAAGAGAAATCAAGAACACTCAAGATTATATATAACTATTGTAAAGACCAGAAAAATAATATAGGGAAACAGTGTTAGATCAAACATGCTGAGATACATGTGCTAAATAACTTCTAAGTCAGAGGCATTCTTCAGTTAAAAACATGATTCACGGGTAAGTACTTATTGTTAAAATATAATGAAGATTTTACAGAGTTTAATCTTTTGTCGTCTTTGTTTAACAAGGTTGATCTGATTCTATCTATATTCATAGAAATTCCAAAGATATATCTTTGCATTGAGATGGTTTAATTTTGTCTTTGAATTAATCAAAGAGATTGTATTGCAGGTGCAGGAGGCTCTGCGTAAGCGGCGTGAAACTACCAGCGCAGCATCTCCTGTCGTCGAGATGCGCTGGTACACTGTCCAAGGTAGAGGCGAGGAAGCGGAGGAATCAGCTGTTCGATGAAGAGAAGCAAAGGCAGCGATCCGAACTGGGTAGGATCGAGAAGATAGAAGTAACGTACAAGTCAGTGGAGGATGAGGTAGTAATGATGATGAACCGCGACATTTCTACGCCGTACGACTGTGCCAGGCACATCTCCGAGAATGTCGCCAAGGTAGCCGCTATCGCTCTGGTGGACGGTCGGGTCTGGGACATGCACAGGCCATTCACAAACAAGTGCGAGCTGGAGCTGGTGACTATGCAGAGTCCGCGAACGGGCGCGGTCAATCATGCCTTCTGGCGTACATGTTCGTTGATCTTGGGTGCCGTGGCAGACAGCGCGTTCAAGGACCACGTGAATGTACATCTACACAGCTTCCCCACACCGGCAATCCACTCCGGTAGCTTTATCTACGACGTGTTCATTGATCTGCCGAACTGGCAACCGACTAGTTCCGAGTTGCGCGCCATGTCCGCGCTTTTCGTCAAGCTTACAAACCAGGAACTGCTGTTGGAGAAACTATTAGTGCCTCGTGGCGTCGCGTTAGACATGTTCCAGGTATGGAATGGAAAAAGCTTCACTTTTGTATGTTTCATAAAGCTGTCAAATATCATTTCACATTTCTATATATTCTTCCAGGATAATCCCTTCAAGTCTCAGCAAATACCCAGTATCGCCAAAAACAGTGATAATGACAGAGTACCTTTGTACCGTCTGGGGGATCACATAGATATCAGCAAGGGCCCCATGGTGAGTAATAGCGGCCTGATGGGTCGCGTCACTGTAACGGCCGTGCACAAACTCGCGGACGGACCCGTGGACGGTCTGTACCGTTTCCAGGGCATCGCCCTGCCCAAGGGTATCTTGCTCAATCATTTCACCTATTCTATCCTGGAGAAACGCGCCAAGAAACTTAACACCACCACGTGGCAATCTCACGCCGAGGACGAGACGATCAACGTGGCAGCGTTGGTGAACTAAGTGATCAGCCCCGTTTCATAATTGAAGAAGATCCTCGTGTAAATAAATGCATCTTTCAGTCGTCTATCTGTTTTTAAATACGTCGTTGTTTGTCCGATACTTTTATTGCGTTTAACATGGATCAAAGGTAGATCATAATTTGAAATTCTAGTAATAGAAAGAAGTAAATTTATTTTGACATATAGCGTGAGAACAAAAATTTATACGTTTTTTTAACGTCAATCGATGTAACTACAGTAAGTGATCAGAGGCGCGATACACAAGCACGTATATATTGATTAATTTTTTTTTTCGTTAAAGAGAGAAGATTCTAGGATTCCTTTTAATTACTACTTTTATCGATAAATCGCAATACTTTAAGATCATCGGATAAAATGCGACTAATTTATTTTTCATCTTCGGAGATATAAAAATTGGATGATCGCTTGATATTATTGTACATCACGTATATAAGAGTGTTTACGCGCGATTTAACGACATTGCGAATGCTTTACTCGAGGACCGCGCACCTCCCAGGTAAAATCGCTCGGCAATCTGTTAGCTTTGGACGCCGTACATCTCGTACTCAGTTTCAGGTACAATTCTTGACGCGAGTTGGCACCGCAGTCTTCGAGGTCGTCGGCCTTCAGGCTCGTCCTTGTCGACAGCGGCGCCAATTCTGGCGGACATCTAAACGATTAACATAAGCCTTTTTATCTTTTTCAATGGGCAAAAAAACTGACGCGAATATCAATCGAGGAGCCATTCTTTAAACAATTCAACACTGTCATTATAGAGTAATAAAAAACGTTATTTACGTTACTAAATAATTATTATTTTGGATCACGATGTTAGAAACGAAAAATTATAATTGTTATTATTGAAATTATATTTGAACCATTTTATCTCGATATGCGCAGAGATTCTACTTACAGAGAAAAATTTATTTTCTAAAACGCAAGTATCTTTCTTTTCCAATTATGGTTCGAGGAAGGAGAAAAGAGTTCTAAGGAAATCGTTCACAAAGGGAAAAATCATTGGGTCACCTCAATTGAACTCTGATGACCAAATCGAATCGATGCGGCTTATTAGCTTCTTCCTCGAACTCTCCGCCGGTGTTCTCCACATTGCCAGATCTCGCGTATCTGAATTTATTCTCGTAGGCATACTTGCTCATGTTACCGTAATAAAAGAACTGGCCGCCGTATTCGCCGTATCCCGAGTACGTGGAGGCTGGCGGCGGTTTTCGGGATGGTAACGATGACGGCTGGAAAAATGCGTCTTTTCGCTTATAATTCAAAAACTATCGTTCTCTTTTCCCCGAGAAAAATTTCATTCAAAAAAAAAAAAATCGCAGATTATTATACATTATTATATATACAGTACAGTAATTAAATAAAGAAATAAATTTTCTAAAAGAATCAGAATTATTATAAACTCGATTAAAATAGATTTTTATCATAATTATTTTGTTTCTTTTTTAAGTAAAATTAGTTTCATTATTTAATCGCCGTACTGTGTACTCCGATCGATTTTACGAGAGTTACCGTCCCTCGGAGAAGAAGCTTGCGCTCGTAATGCAATTTGTGGTACAGATGCTTGTTGAAGCTGCCGACCAGCCGGCGCAATCTAAGATACATGTAACGCTGACTATCCCGCCAGCAGTGCTCGTTGTTCGCGTTGGGCACCCGCAGACACGTGAACCACGCGCGTCTCAGGACGTACTTGAGTTGCATGCTGACCTGAAAATTGAATTACGCGGACTCACGAGTCTGCGGTTTAAATAATTAAACTTTATTGCGAGATTTTTCCGCGAGAAATGTCTACATACAGAACGATTCACGTATCATTCACAATAATGGGATAAACGAACATCTTCCACAAGAAGTATCGATTAGTTGAAATGAATACAATTGATAATTAAAGCAAATCAAAATGTGCATCGGAAAACGTATACTTCTGGAGGATATTTTTGAGGCTTATCGTTGAAACAAGTTTCTCAACATCTTCATATTCAAGCGCAAAGAATACATACTCGACATAGGATCATAATGAAATATTCCTTACCATGGGGTTTCCTGTCCTCGACGAAGTCCTGAAAGACAACAGTTGTCGACCCTCTCCCAGACAATCTAAGACGTCGACGATCTTGCAGCCCGAGATTAAAGCGGATCTATCGGTGATTTCTCTTTTTTTTTTTTACTGATTCTTCATAATTATACTTAATTTAATCGATTCATTAAAGCAAAAATAAACTAATAAACGATCACTGTCCGCTTGAAGATTATAAACTGACGAAGAGAAGCACTGTTACCTGTTTATCCTGCGCTCTGTGGTCTTCTCGAAATGATCCATGAAATTCTCACAGCTGCGCGTAAAGATCTGCAAATCGACATAGTTGAAGACATTCGTGGGTACTCGACCAGGATCCAGAAATGTCTGTAGCAAGCAGTTGAGATTGTCGAGGACTCTACCACCGTAGAAGCACGAGGTAGGTGAGTCGTGCGATCTTCAACGATAAAATGAACAAGAAAGTATGTATATCGATTTTTGCTCTCTTTATTCTCGACAATGTGGCATTAATATAGTCTTTATCTGAAGAGATGCAATTTCTTAAATAAGCAAAATTTAAGAAATTTATTACATTTTTTTTTTTGTAGAAGATAAATATTTTTCAAAAAATATAAAAATGTATGTGCGCGTGCACACATAATCACACACACATACACACATTGCTATATATAATATGCATATTTTAATATTAAATTTTTTATCATTACACGGATATATTTTTATATCTTTAATCTTAAATTTTCTCAACAGAGTTTCGCAAACTTTTTAAATTATCTGCGAGAGATATAGATGGATTCGGAAACCTTGGGTGCGTGTATCGCCACGTAACCGCCCTTAACATCTGATACTGGGAGCGAATGAGTTCCAGCATGTTGAAGACGCTACTATACTCGAGTAATTCCATATCGGTCTTTACGCTGTTCATGAGGCTCTCTGTACGTTTTATCGCGGCCTCCAGCTTCATGCCGGCCACTAGAAACTCGCTATTTAATACTGTGGCGGCGATATCGAAGCAACGTCTGCTCAGGGAGGATCAAAAAGATTAGATTAGTGGAGATTTCCTTCTCAAGATTTCCTTCATGTAGACCCTTAGGAAAAGCTGGATTTTAAAATAAGGTCTACGATATCTTCGAAGAAAAGTAAAAAAATTCAAAGATCTTCGCACGCGTTTAAGCCTGAACATTTTAAGTTATTAAGCTTAAAATTTATAACGGATTTGCTCTTTAAAAAGCGAGAAAATTCTCTCCTCCACAATTTTTCATTTATCTAGAGGGGATGTAAAGATTTTAAAGTAAGAGTTAAAATAAGGAATTTTAAATGTACGGGGTTTGTGTTTTAGGATTTCTTTTTTAATACTAGATCTACGAATTAATAATACAACATGTGTGAATAGAAGCGGGAATCTATAGATTTTGAAAAATTATTTCTTAAATGTTATATAATTAAACTGATGACGCTTTTTCTTTAAAATTATATACATTCCGAGATAATTCCAGCAAAATCTTTCGGTAATTTTTAAAACATCCTCGAATATTTATTTATACCGAATCGGCGGGCATCTACCTGGAAATCAGACGAACCGTGCAAGCGACATCGTGTAATGACAGCATCCTCAGGATGATGCCGAGAACTTCTGGCGGCATAGTATCCAACGTGTATCGCGCATTTTTGCATCCTCGCGCGTTTCGCGAAGACACTCTCCGCCGTTTCGGCCCCATTTAACTCTTCTTTTTCGAATCGTCCTTGCAATTCGCGATCGCGACCAATCATGTAACCGATCGCGATCAATCACGAAGATCACGTACGTTCTCGCATAGCGTTCGTAATCGTTGCGGAATTTCCGGTTGCGGGAGGGACAGGAATTTCCGAAATTTTGCGAGAGTTCCTTGCAGAGAGCGAGAACTCCCGAAATTTGCGCGAAACAAAGGAGCCACCTGATCTCGCAATCTTTTCATTGCGACAGTTTCAGAGTGTCGAGGATAAGGGAGGAACATCACACACTCGCGTTCGATAGTATAGGTAGTTAAAATATAATGAAAACTCATTTCAACACGGGAATTATTAAATAATTATAATTTTTATCACAGTTATCATATAGTTTATTTTTACTAGAAGTGAAACGCATATCGATTGAGTTATAAAAAGGAAGTTTCCCATATATTTTATGAATTTATACTAGCAAACATAAGACGTGGCAGGCGAAAAAATGTTTTACTTATTCCGCAAGAATAACTTTTCTCCTCTGACATTGTAAATCATATGATTGAGGTGAGGAAACAAGAACCGCAAATTATTTATAAATATCTCTTAAATTAATATGACCGTATCACATCATCAAAATTATTTTCAAGTCGTGTATAGTTTTATTATATATATGCATATATCTTTTTTCTAGGAAATTTAAGCAAATGTGCAGATAACAGAATAAAGCGAATACAAGATAATGGCTTCACTTACTTAAGATTTATTTTTTCGACATTTCTCGTGAAGTATGGAATAACAAATTAAATATAATCAGTGAAATCAGTTCACACGATTTTGATTTGTCAATCGGATCCCTTGTCAATAAATTTAAAAAAAATAATCATTTAGATATATATTATTTTTTGGTCGTTGAGAATCTCTCTTAGAATTTGCAAGATCAATCCAAAATTTCCGGTTATCCGGTTAAAATTTGAGACTTCAGAACTCCGAGCCTTCAAAAATTTATATTGCGAAGAGCCCAAAATTCTAAGTATAAGATCTATAGCCGAGGTCAAAGATCAAGGTCATAGATCAAGCAATTAAGTTTTAAGTTTTCAAGAAATGTAAACTTTCAATGCTCCAAGAACCCAATCTTCTAAGTAAAGTTGCAAGATTTCCATCCTCCAAGTAGATAAAAGATTTGAGAATCCAATCTTCCGAGCATCCAGAGTTCCAAGAAGCTAAAGTACCGAAGGCCCCATGGATACAATGTTCCAAGAAATCTCAGGTCTTGTGGATCCGAAGATTCCCCGTAAGAGAATTAAATTTTTTATAGTTCGAAGTCGAAGGATTCACAGTAAGCTTTCAAGACGGCGAAAATCTCTTCCATCGTTTTACGGGCTAAAGTTCACCGGCATCAGCAAGGTGAATTTGGCTTGATCGATATTCGTCTCTTCGGTCGCACACGGTCCGATGCTGTCTAACAAGCTTTGTATCGCGCTTTGATTGCTCGGATGTTTTCGCTTAGTATGCTCGCGACGATGCTTGAGTTCCTTGAATGTCTTGCCGCACTGCTCGCAATTGTATGGTCTGGCGGCCTCGTGAGAACGTACGTGGCCCTCGTAGTGACTTTTCCTGACAAATTTCTTGCCGCATTGGCCGCAATCAAACTGAAAACGGCCCTCGTGAGCGGCCACATGCGAACTCAAAGTCCACTTGGTCTTGAAAGTCTTCGAGCAGTAGTCGCATCTGATCTTCGAATCGCCTTTGTTCGCTTTTCGAGGATCCTTCTTCAGCAATAGCATCTCCTCCAAAAAGAATTCGTCCTCTGTAGGATCCTTCTGTGTCGAAGATTTGTCCACAATTGCTTGACCTATGCCTTTGGTATGTTCCTCCGGCTTCGAGTGGTTCTTTGGCATCGTCTGAAAAAAAAAAGATAAATATTTTCGATGCATGCCTCGACACGTTTTTTCATTAATGAGCTGCTTCTCAAGCATTATTGTTTGCTTATCGTACAAAAAATAGACTATCAGTTCGATAGTCGTATCACGAAAATAGATAATTTTCAAGATAACGTCAAAAAGATTCATTCACTTACAAAAACATTTGTTTTATTCCCACAGATTACTCATAAACTCTGAAAATTTTAATCAACCGACGCCAATCAAGAGATAAAAGTAATTGATGTAACATCGGAAGATACCTTGCCGTGCGAGGCCAGGTGGACCTTAAGCTTATCCTCGTCGCTGTATCTTTTCTTGCAACGGGGGCAGGCAAACCCGCCCTTGTCTTCAGCGCCGCGTAGAAGGGCGCCCTGTAGGGTCGTGTCGTTTGCGGCGTTTTCGACAACGACCTTATGTTGATCAGTCAACTGCAACTTCTCCTTTCGCATCGCATGCCGAGCTATGTGTCGCTTCAGATCGTGTGCCCTGGAGAACGCTCGTCCGTATCGCGAGCACGTGGGAAAGGGACAGCCCTTGGTCCTGTCGTTTCTCGGACTGGTAAAAGAAAGGATATCTAATTTTTATAATTCTAAATTTTTAAGTATTGTTAAGAAAAGCATTGTTTAGTAATGATTGTTTATAGAACTTTAGTGGAAAAATGAAAGTATAGGAACCAAAATCATGATAAAAATTGTTAGAATTGTAAAGCCATTAGAATATTGAAAATCTCGACACACAAATAGATTTTAAGAAAATCAGAAACTAAGAAATGTTCAAAGAATTTAAGGATATTTCATTGAATACTTTCTGTACCTTCGAACAGGATTAGTGGCGGTCGACTGTTTCGCGTCCTTACTGCAATCCGTGCAGTTCTTGTAGACCTTCTGGCTGGTCATTGTAGTGAGTTGCGCCGATAACGGTATTACGATAGAGATGGTCTCGTTGGATCCGGGCGTGACAATGGGCCCGACGTGAATCGCCGGCGGCGTCGCCAGCGATATTCCACTTTCCCCGCTCCTGCTCATGTTGATCCTGTGAGCGACCGACTCCTCGGGTAGACTATTTTGTTATCTGCAAGGTAATACACAATATCGATTATTATTCATTATATAAATCTATCTTGTTCTAATTAATAATTATAGTTTTTTAATTGAACGATTCACAATACTGTTATTGTAGATTATATGTTACATATTATTTATTTAAAGGACAATCAATAATAACGCACTCATTAATAATTTTTCGAGTATTCTAAGTCTCCTTTAAGACAAATTTGTAATCATTATAATGATATATTAGGTCTACCGGAAAGTTCTGTCCGTTTTTGGAATAAAACAAAATACAAATTTTTATTACCGTCAATAAACTTTATTAAATAATGTAATTGCCATTATTCGGAGAAGTATTGTCAGCAACTGGATAATTTAAATACAGCAGTCCAAGAAAAGAGGCCGGCGATGTTCAATAGGAGGAACATCATACTGCATCATGATAATGCTAGGCCACATGCTGCTTTGGGGACTCGTCAAAAAATTGCAGAACTAGGCTGGGGAATTCTGTCGCATCCACCATATTCCCCGGACTTAGCACCCTCCGACTATCATTTGTTTTTGTCCTTACAAAATTTTTTGAGGGGCGAGAAATTCAAAAATGAAGAAGATATCAAACAAGCACTGGTTCAATTTTTCGTATCAAAAGATAAAACATTTTTCGAAAATGGGATATACAAATTGCCCTCACGCTGGCAAGAAATCATTAATAATAATTGCAATTACATTATTTAATAAAGTTTATTGACGGTAATAAAAATTTGTATTTTGTTTTATTCCAAAAACGGACAGAACTTTCCGGTAGACCTGATATAATTATGATTTTGTAGTGGTTCAACAAAAATCGACGGATATGTGTTTACGAGACACCCTATATATTCCACAACTTTCGGAAGGGCTAACGCAAACCGCGATCGATGGAAGGTCATCTATTCACGCGTACCAGAGAGATACATATCCCTTTCGAGAAAGAAGAAAAAAAGAAAAGTAGGGATGAAAGTCAGTATAATTTCGGAGAGTTTTACAGATTCCGATGCCACGGATTCGCGGAAATGATCTCTATATTTATTTATTCACTAATAAAGTGGCCGCTAAGTTAAGATACATCTACCTTTATCGGAAAGTTGAACTCATCGAAATGATATATTTTCGGCTTGGATCTGTTATAGAGACGGCATTATCGAAGCGTCGCGGAAACGCGAATAGGAAAGAGTCGTCGATAAGTTTATCAACACCCGAGCTTTTCACATTCCCATTTAGGAGGCAGAACCTGACGGAAACGACGAGGATACACCGAGGTATCGCGGCGACATTATCGAGACGTCACTGAAGCGTCGTCACCGATGTGACTCGTCGCCGAAAACCGATGAAACTTCCCCTTCGGGCGGATCACAACCGTAGAAGAGCGCGTTCACAATTTTCGACCCGAGGGAGAGACATCGAGAACACGAAAGGGAGGAACAACGAGGGATATTTTGAGACGCTATTAGGGAAGCGTCACCGACGCCGAGGGATTTGATGACGATGTTTTTTCTCCCTCTTCGGGTATTCCACGAGCACGATGCCCGAGAGAGCGATCCCAAGCCCGTGAGACGTCACTATCACGCGGACTCCTTCGCGTTCGTAAAATCCGCGCGAGTGAGCGAGCTCTTACGTGACGACGCGACGCTTCTTCGCGGTGAACACGCGATCACCAGGTGCGGCCATTTTAATGCGAGGCTCTCGTCTCTCCCTCGACATGCGAGCCAATCGCGCCGACTAGGAACGCTCGTGCGCATGTCACGAGTGTCGCGTTTGAAAAGTCACAATATGAGTGCGTTTGGTAAGATACCGCTACAGTAGCGCTATTGTAGCGCTACAAGAGAGCGTTCCGGCGAGACACTGCTGCTGTAGCGCTACAATATCTTCAATATTTTCCATTATTCAAATCATTTAAAATAATTACCGAACGCGACTATTAGCAATTAAATACAATTTGGAGGCTATGTACAGTAGCACTGTCCAGCCAAAATCAATAACGTTAATTAAGTATAGTGCAACATTTGTAGCGTTATACTCAGTTTTACTAACTTTACCGCTACAATTTTAGCGAAAAAGCTGTAGCGCTACGGTAGCGGTGTCTTACCAAAACACACTCAATCCTCCGCATAAGATTGCTGTTTTTTTTTTTTTAGTTTTTTTTAGTCGTGTTACATTTTTTCTTTTCAAGTTCTTTTTCTCTTTCCTTCTTCCTACGATGACCGATTTTCTCGATGACAAGTTCTTTGGAATCGATCTTTCCTTAACAAAAAACTGTGTCCATAATTTTTAAATTATAAACACGAAATTAAAAAAAAAAGGATTTTTTAAATATGAATCCAATAGTTGACAATATTTAACTACTTAATTTCTTTAGTTAATTTTATGCAAAGTTTATTTTAATGGAATTTTTACATTAGAGGTTTATTTTACACATTACAAAGAAATGTAAAGGATCGGAAAGATAAATGATAACTTTTTTCGACATTTTTGCTGAGAAAACATCGACACATCGACTATAGATTTAAATAGATAGGAGAAAAATACAAGAGTATAGCTAAAAAGAAAAAAGATCTACAAATTAATTAAAATTATTGCGTAAATGAAGACGCAAATATATCTTTATAAAGAAAATATTTTTATAAATTTAAATTTGTTTTACACACATATATAAAAGACATCGTTTCTCTCCGTATAAAAATAGAGAGTTGAACAACTATCGATATTTTTCTTTTCACAATATTGTATGTACATCGATACCGTGCGACTCTTTGCTTCGGAATTTCGCGGTTTTAGCGAGAAGAATCAATCGGAGAATCGCATATCATGAAAGCCTTTGGCTCCAAATGGCGCCATCTTCTCAGGCGCCGCTATCCTCTCTCCCTTTTTTTTTTACTCCTCTTCTCTCGCCCGGCCGGATTTCTCGCTCACTTTCCTCGACGCGATGAAAGTATGCTACTGATCGGCCGATTCGAGTACGATGATGGAAAAGCCCGTGGGAGACGTGGGGAAGATGGGCGGGAATAAAGGAAAATGCGCGCGCAGGCGATGATTCAATCGGGATGATTCAAATATTATGTACTATTCGCGACGAAACATAGTTTCGTGACTCTCCTTACACGCAGGTACAGAAAAAAGGATATATATCTACGATATTATTCATATATTTATATTTTGTGACACTCTTAAAATTCTCCGAACATTAAATTTCCGATAGATATTGGGAACTTTAATAGTCAAGACTATTATAATATTTATAAAGATATATAAGAATCTTATATATATGTGAATTAAAATTTCAATGTTCCAAAAGCGATTTTATTGTAAAATCTAAAAAAAATATTTCTTGGATTTTTCTTACAGGATTCTCCTCTTTAGACTCTAGATGTAGTATTTTTTATACCAGTCTATCGCTGTTCTAAATTCGTATTCTAAACTATATGTTAACAAACAACTGAAAAATCGACGAAAAGAATGGAATTGTTTCTGGATGTTGAGGAAAAATTTCAGATATAGTCAAATATAGATAATTATCATAGAGGTGATGCGTAGAAGCGAATCAAATACACTTAGTAAATTGCCATGCGTGTATGTGTGTGTGCTATGATTAATATTAGTAATTACATTAGAGGTACAAAATAGGATATTGTCATGAATACATACGGTGTCGCTTAAGGTCTTGTATAAAATTTTAAGAAATATTTTTTCTTCTTTTAGCATAAATGTTCTTAAATTTTAAAGAAAAGTTTTAGAAGTTAATATTATTTTTACTTTTTAAGTTCTTATGAAAAACTTTTATTTAATATTTAAATTTAAATATCGGTTTAGTATTTTATCTCTGATCTGTTTTTTATTATAAAACTTTTTGCAAAGTTTTATATATAATGTGATAATATTTATTAAGATTAAATCTTTTGTAGATAAATTAGATTTACGGAAAATAAGTAAGAGAGAGATTTTCTGAAAAAAACTAAAAAAAAATCTATTATCAATTTTATGTACTTTTATTAAATAAAAGATATAATGCATTATATCAATTTTTCAATTATATTTTATAATTTTAGTTTAATTTATAATTTTTTAAAAACGTATGAATGTAAAGATCGAGTGCCATTTCTTATCTGTTCTAGTCTTATCTGACAGTCTTGTTTCCTCATTACGTTATCGAAACAAATAGAAAGGTAACTATAGAGATATGTTGAAAGTTAGAAAGAAAAGCCATTTCTCCGCAGAGAACGAATGTCTGCAAGAGGAACATCTGCATTTATATAAGGATTTCGATGCTGAGAAGCTACTTCTGCCGTTGCGTAACTGTGTCGAGCGAAATGTATATCTATCGAACTGTCGTATTGTATTTCTAATAGGAAGCGTTCGTTCGAAATAACAATTCTAAAGTGTGAGATTACTTATTTTATTTTCCACGTATATAAATTAATTTTACATTTTACATTTTAATTTAGAGCGGTTTGGATGGAGCCAACTTCGGGATAATTGTAGTAAGGAAAAAAATTAAGTCACAATAAAGTACATCTCGCGCCGAAATATTTCCAGAATCTACCGAAGATATACAATCACGTAAAATTAAAGCGAATTAATGGAATGGAAGCGATATCTCTGGACACTCAAAGATCATCAGAGATATATTTTTTCACGGGGGATGAGGTCTTCAGTGACGAGGAATCTTCAGGGTGAGGAATCATACTTTAGCGCGCTGTGGAATATGCATATTTGCTTTATGAGTGTCGGAACGTGTGCAACACCTACACAATAACACACAGAGCACGCGCAAAGTGCTGCTTATATATGGGTATGTATCTGTAATTAATAATTAAGGCTAATTAAGGCTTTGCTCTGTGACCGAATACGCACTCACGGTATGTCGCGTGCGCTCTTCGTGAATCGATATTTCTAACTTCATCATTTATGTAGCATATGCTTCGCATTATTAAAGAGCATTACATTCCACCCAATGGAATAGATCATCGTATCATAACTCATTGTCATTCTCTTTTTTGACGGATAAAGCCACGCGTAATATTTCCGACATAACGGAAGGGAAATTTTTAAGAAGTTTTAGCGATATCTTTTTATAATTCGTAGAAATTTCACTGCATTATTTTTCCAATAATTTCGGACGCGAAATATAGAAATGTTTCCACACGGTGTAATTTAAAAGACTTAAAGCTTTAACTGACCGCGACCAATGTTCCGGAAAGGAACATCTTTACAAGCCTCGGGATCTATCATCCTGTTTATTTTGGTTTCAACGTCTACTGGACCGGATCATTTACAAACGGTAATTATTGTCTGATCATCATAGTTACAAAAAATATAAATAAAAAACGATTATTACAAATAGTTATATATAAGAAGCGTCTATACGTCAATATCAATACTAATATCCTCGGCTTTCTATCTATTTATTATCTGTAATGTTAGTTTTAATGAGGAGGGAGGGGAGTATGACCTACATATATATTTAATTATAATAATTTAATCCTTATTTCTATTTCTCTCTCCCCCTCCTGTACTGTACAATATATGTATAATAACAAAAACACGGAATGCATTATGTACAAAGAATTATATGCACTGTACAATATAGTATTTACAATGTTGATATTTACAAACGTGTTTTATTAGTGCTCGTCATCGCCGTCATTGTTGGCATCAATCGTACTATTAATCCAGTTTAAATAATGCTGTATCTCGGTATATACATCTGGATAACCCGGTCTGGCACAACCGGAGCCGAAGGACGTGACACCGACCAGCTGCCAAACACCGTCCGGACGACGACACTGCAGAGGACCTCCAGAGTCACCCTGAAAATTAGAATAGACAAAGAAATAAGAATTAATAGTACGTAGTCACGGACCAAGTTTAAAAACCGTCTTTTCTAACAACAGTCCTTTTTCAGGAATGATCATTTTCTATATATATTATATGATATATAGAAAGTGTCTCCTTATTTACAAATTAATTTTCAGTAAACAATGTTTACCACGCAACTTCCGGAGGAACCATCGGTGTGACCGGCACAGAGATGACCCTTCCTGATGGGCACCGAGGTGCCGTAGGCTTGCAGGCACTCCTCGAGATTCAGAAGAGGAACGCTGGCCTCCAGAAGGGCGGTAGAGAGCGAGGGCGACGGGCCGTATCGGCCCCAGCCGGAAGCGACACATTGTCCTTTGCCGAGATACTGTCCAGGACCAGGAAGACATATAGTGCGAACGACCTTGGATAGAGGTGCCGGCCTGGCGAGCTTCATTAGAGCTATAATGACGAGACTATATCAGGATTATAAAGAAAGTGTGAAGACGTTTTTTTGAATCTTAGATTAATAAACAGATCTTTAATAGGATGTAAGAAGAATGTTGATATATATATAAAATAGATAGAATTAGGTCGATAAAATTAATTTTTGTTTAAATAGACTCACCTATATCGTGCACGTAATTATTGAACCTCTCATGAAGAATCACTTTTTCGACAGGTAAACGAGCAGATCCGCGTCCCCCCGAGTCCAGTTCCCATTCGCCGACCACTGCTGTCCATAACACGCCGATGGGCAAATTAAACAGCTCGCTGAAGTAAAAACTCATTTGAATATACGAAGCAAGAAGTAAGTCACTGGAATAACCGTCCACTTGAAAATATGCGTTAATGCATCAAAGAACTTGATGAAGAAGGAAAAAAGTATTTTAGAAAAAAAATATCGAAGTTTTGGAAAAATTAAGACTAAATCAATCACGATTGTAAAATTTTGCGAAACTCTCCACGAGGATCGGACTCACTTGTGAATGCAATGAGCAGCGGTGATTACCCATTTGGGATCGATCAACACACCACCGCACCAGTGACCGATAAAACCCAGTTTCGGATGTAGTAACTGAAGGGACACCTGCCAAGGCCACGCGCCCTTTCTGCTGGGTTTGCCGTTGAAAATGCGACCGGTGGTCGTAGTGATGGCAGTGGCCGTGATCGTCGACGAGGATGAGACATCGTCCTTTATCAGTAGTCCTTGGACCTTGGACGGAGCAATCGATCGTGGCTGCCTCTGCGACGCTGCCGGACATCCGCATTCTGTTATCCAAAGCCACTCGAATTTTTTTATCGTTTTTGCGAATTGTAATCTTTGAATTTTATATAGCTAAATACGATTCTCTAATATTCCATAAGATTATAGCAAGTGTAAATCTATAATTCCATTTATATTCAAAATCCGAAACGTATCGCGTGTTAAAAGTTTAAAATCAACCGTAAATTCCCAAAATCGAGGATAAATTGAGGGAGATTTTCAAGAATCACAGAAATCGTCTCGTATAATGCTAATCTAGATTGAAGAAACTATAAAAAAAAACACGATAAAAAATTGCAATGTCGAAGATGAGGTACTCACTGGAATGGTTCTCCCCGACGATCCTCATCATGATGCACTGGGCCTCCGCCAGGACGATCACCAGCAGGACAACCAGATCGCCGCGAAGACGGCACATCGCCAGGAAAATCGAGAATATCCACTCTAGCTACGATTTATGGATCCGCATAGCCCGACTAGCTTCGGCGACGCCGATCGATCCTCGAGTAGGATTAGCGCGAGCGGAGATCCTTCGGCGCGAAGCGATCTCGAAGAAAGTGATCGTCGGATGACGCGGGAGGGGGGAAAGCGAGCGATGATGTAGTCCGGCAGATGTCGAGGAATGTGAAAAAGTCCTAAAATCTTGATCGTCATTATTTACGGAACAGAAGATCCCTCAAACTCGAAGAGATGTCCCGTACAAAATGATGAAGAGGAGCGATCTAGGAAGTACGATGGACTTTCTATTCTCGCGCGCGATATTCAGGATGCGCTTTAATTATCGGATCTTTCGATTCTCGGAATTTGGAAATCTTGGTTTTTGGAACTACAAGTTCTTCGAGGCTACAAATCCAACGGATCGAGATAAAACGAGATTTCCCTCTCGAGTGGAAATCGACCGAAACAAGTCCCTGTAACGTACGTATTGCGGCAAAAAAATTAGCGAAGCGAATCGAATAAAAAGGGAGAAGACGAGGAGCTTTCTCTCTTCGCTTCGGACGAAGTTTTCGCGGGATTATTCTAAATTCGGGGAACTTTCTTCCTTAGTCGAGGAATGTCCGTCGCGGCCGGTGCGAGAAGTCGGGCACGCGTTGTAATTAACGATCGCAGATTCATCGAGGAAAGAAACCGAGGGCAATGCGGCTATCTCTCTTTCTCTCTCTCTCTCTCTCTTTCCTTCTTTCTCTCTTGCTAGTTTACTATACTCAAACGAGGTGACGACTTTCGAGAGCGAATCACTCTACTAGCGCGAGAGAAACGCGGTCGATATAATGATATAATCGCCATCGACGATAATCCTCTGTTCCGATTCACGTTGTCGGATCGTAAAGATATTTCACGCTTATAAAGAATCCATAAACGTATAATTGAAAATTTCTAAACATGTCTTAATGATATCTCAAGGATCCGATTCGTAATTATATCTTTGAATGAAGAACAGATCTGATAAATTGATAAACTGATAAATTAATCATACAACGCGTGTCGTGTGAAAAATAATTTAAAAAATAAATAATTAATATAATAATGAAAGCAATATATTATATATAATATATGATTAATAAATACATCTCGATTATACACGCCTAAGAATATCGGCTTTATAATAAAAATGATTTGATCAATTTTTCGGATATCTAATGAACAAAAAAATAATCATATCAAATTATTAATATACGAATCAACCGAATATTTTCCAAGATATATCTGCAGTAACGTTCTTGTCTTATTATAGGCAATCCTTGGTGGGATCTTCTCAAGTATCACGCTGTTCTAAACGAGAAGAGATTCACGCCGTGCGAATGCATCTCAACTTGTGCGGAATGAGAAAGTGAAACTGCATTTACCATCGTGCCTTGAAGAGTCCTCCACGTTTGCCTGTGTACATATATCGCGCATCAAAATGGTAATGAAAAATCGGAAGATTCTTTCTTTCTCGGAATCGAGATCACCCTTTGTAAGCGATGTCTTCGAATCTCTCGACGGAGGAGTGGAAATTCTTGAAAAGTGGACGAGATGGAGAAGAAAGAGAAAAGAATTCTAAAAAAAGAAAACAAGAGATTTAAATTTGTTACGAATAACGTTAGTGTACATGAAGCAAAGTCACGATGATGAACAAAATATGTGCCCCGAGTCAGTAGTGAAAGCAGAGAGAATTCCAAGAGCGGTCACGTCCCCGATTTAGGCAAATTTTAGCTCGAGCGTCGATGAGATATTTTAGAAATCTGTATTACCCACACTTCGCAGCACGGAATCGGACCAAAATTGCAATCTATTATCCTACGAAAAGTTGCTTGGCCACGTAGTTCAAAGTTTATGTTTCATAGACATGAGAGGCGCTTATCTCGAATAAGTGCTCGATCCTCGATCGTCCGTTGTACAAAAGTACAGAAGTACAGAGTACATCAGAGAGGTACCGCCAAAAATGATAGTGTCAACAAGTATATCTAAGTTATCGAGATATCACAAGCCAGTGCTTTTGGCTGGCAAAAACTCGTATAAAAATGGAAATACGTCCTACGTTAAGTTTAGTAACGCTAGAAGAAAAAGTCACACGAACGCCGGCACGGAAGTCATCACGCTGTCTGATGGGTGAGAATGCATCACGCGTTTATCTATCCTAACCTATATTCCATGAGGCATTACAACGGTTTCCTTTCGGGATTTCGTCGAGAAATATACGTATTTTATACATTTCAAAAGCTTTCATCTATTTTAAAAACAATATGTTGAATTTGCATGAAAATATGAGTAGGATAAATCCAGTAATATATTTTTATCATCTTTACTTATATACAAGCATTTTATATCTTATATAGGGTGTTTCTATTGTATTATCTTTTTAAATGTCTGATCAGCTTATTTCTTTCTTGAAAATGTCGAAGAGTGTTCCTTAAAATTCTTGAGTTTTCAATACGGACATTGCAATCTGATTTGAGTGAGGAAGTTTTATATTAGAATTGCTGCTAGAAATTGTTTACGAATTATCCGGAAAATAATATAATAGAAATGAAACACAAATATTACATATCTTCGATTAACTGATACATTTTTTTATATTTCTAGCAAGCAGCTCAGCCTGTCTACAGGCAAATATGCACGTTTCGCTGATGGTAGTGCAATTGCGTCTTTGGGCGACACTTCCGTCATGGTCACAGCAGTTTGCAAGCATCAGTCGTCTAGCTCCTCGTTCCTTCCACTCGTCGTAGATTATAGACAGAAGGCAGCAGCGGCCGGTCGCATACCGACAAATTTCTTACGGAGAGAACTCGGACCGACTGAAAACGAGATTCTCACGAGCAGAGTCATTGATCGGTCAATACGGCCGTTATTTCCAGAGGGATTCCACTTCGACACACAGATAATGTGCAATATGTTAGCCGTCGATGGTATGAACGATCCTGACGTGATTGCCATTAACGGCGCCTCCGCGGCTCTTAGTGTCTCCGATATACCGTGGAACGGTCCTGTGGGCGCGATCAGGATCGGGATGATCGATAATGAATTTATAATTAATCCTACAAGACGTCAAATTCAAGATAGTATATTAAATATGATTATCACTGCGACTAAACATAATTTAATCATTATGTTAGAGGGTTCGGCCAATGAGATATTGGAGCCGGATCTGAGGAAGGCGATAAAGCTTGGCGTAAAAGAATGCCAGAGTATTGTAAACGCGATAGCAAACTTGCAGAAGATGTACGGTAAAACGAAAAGAAAGATCGAAACTAACGAACAATTACAAGACAATGATTTGATCAGTTCTGTGAAGGAACTTTCGGAGATAAAATTACGAGATATATTTTCAAATCAGGCCCATGATAAGATTTCTAGGGACAATGCGATTAATGATCTTAGAAATAATGTTATTGAAACATTGAAGAATGATAATGCAGATTTGGATGTTAAATCGGCGGAAAAAATATTTGGAAAAATTACCAAAGATCTTTTCAGGACACTGATCTTAGAGACAGACGTCAGGTATTCTCCAATATAAAATACTATGCAATTGCCTCTATCATCGTTTCTTAAATCATTCAAATATTCAAAGTCAACGATTTACAGATGCGACGGTCGTCCAATGGATGGTATACGCGATATATCATGTCAGGTAGATCTTTTTAACCCTCTTCATGGCTCGGCTGTGTTTCAACGGGGACAGACCCAGGTCATGTGTACTGTGACTCTGGACTCTCTGGAAAGCGCGCTTAAGATGGACCCCATGTCAATGCTAATTAGGTACATTAATAACGAAACAATTAAGCTCTAGCATTATTTTTTCTTTTCTACCGCGAGAATTTATCGATGTAGAGAGATTTCAATCTAAAGATATAAAAGAGTCAAATTGAGGAAGAAAAGTCACTTGTGATACATGGTTTGAAATATAATTTATTTTTCGACAGTGGCGTGAAGGAAAAAAATTTCTTTCTCCATTACGAATTTCCGCCCTATGCAACTAATGAAACAGGACACGTAGGTCGGATAGGCCGCCGGGAGATGGGACATGGCGCCTTAGCGGAGAAAGCCTTGCGGCCGATTCTTCCAAAGGACTATCCGTTCACCATAAGATTAACTAGCGAGGTTTTGGAATCAAACGGTGAGACGATCATTAGACTAATTCAAATCCGCTTTCATTAAAAAATGTTTATAACGCGGCTGCTGCAATAATGGCATCGAAAAATTCAAACCTGTGCTTTGTCTTATAAATACAGGTTCTTCTTCAATGGCTACCGTTTGTGGCGCAAGTTTAGCATTGCTCGATGCAGGCATACCTATATCTTCATCAGCAGCAGGTGTGGCCATCGGTCTCGTGACTAAATATAATGAAACTAACATGGATATTGACAATTATAAGATATTGACCGACATATTGGTAAGCAAAACGTTAAATTGTTTTGGTTCATACATTAAACAGATTTAAGTTATCGTGATTGACGTATATTAATAAATTTGCTCATATTTTATTATTTACATTTAGATTAAAATTAGTAATTTTGATGATTGTTAATCAATTTTTTATCTCTCTACTAGGGAATCGAAGATTATTTCGGAGATATGGATTTCAAAATGGCAGGCACCAAGCGGGGATTCACCGCATTGCAGGCCGATGTAAAGATACCAGGAGTTCCACTAAAAATCATAATGGAGTGCATACAGCAAGCGACAATTGCTAAACGGGAGATCATTAAAATTATGAACGAAGTAATACGAACACCGCAACAAAAGAAAAAGGACAAGATGCCAGTGGTTGATAGTTTAGAGGTTCCTATTCATCAAAGAGGAAAGTTTCTCGGAATCGGCGGGATGAATATAAAGAAGATATTCTTGGAAACCGGAGTGCACGTAAGATAATTTTTTATAATATTCTGAAGAGAAAATTAAAACTTTCCTAATCAAAATTGTTTATCACACTCAGTTATTATTTAGATTTGAAATATACTGAAACATACTTCCAATATTGCTTTCAGATATTTCCACAAGACGAGAACACATATTCTATATTTGCGCCAAACGAAGATGCCATGACCGAAGCTAAGGAAATGATAGAAAATATTCTGCAGAAGGATCGCGAGCCGACCTTAGAGTTTGGCGCCATTTATACCGCGAGGATAGTAGAAATACGAGAGATTGGAGTTATGGTGACGCTATATTCTAATATGGTGCCAGCATTGTTACCTAATTCTCAATTAGATCAACGCAAGATTCATCACCCTAGTGCTCTGGGACTTGAAGTTGGGCAGGAGATACAAGTCAAGTACTTCGGACGAGACCCAGTGTCCGGACAGATTAGGATATCGCGGAAAGTACTGCAAGAACCGATCTCGATCTCGAGAACTCTGCATCGGGATAATGATCGAGAAAGGATGTGAAGCCCATAAATTATTATGTTTTAAACTGAAACACATACATTGTAAACTGTTTGGGTTGCGAGAAGATGACGCTATACATTTTCCCGTTTAAAACTATGAATATTTTTTGCAGATTCCAACTGTATATATCTGTTGAATATAACATTTTTGTATGATGCCGTTGTTAAGAATAGAAACATAAAAATACCGCGATTATAAAATATAATCGATGTTAATTTCTCCATTTACCCTAACTCTTCATATACATCATTAATGATTTATTTATGAGACATAATAGATATTGGTTTTCCATTTATCTTATTTCTTCATATATATCAATACAATGTTTAATATATATATCGATGTGCAATTTACTTAGGAGAAGATTTACAAGTTTGTAGATTTTGTAAAATATAATTATGAGAAATTTTCTTTATTAATAATATATGTAGAATGTATTTTACTAATTGAAAGAAAAAAAGAGAGATGGAATAAAGAAACGTTTCGCAAGAAAAGACCTACATTTAGTTTCATAAAATCTCGCGTTTCTACCATCGTTAATTTTTTAAATACAATTTATTCTGCATATACGTTATTAGATGAAAGACGAATCGTATTCGGAAATCACGCATTTTGTTAAAAATAGAACGGAAATGGCTTGTGTCTCATCACTTGCTATCTTTTCCTAGAAATAGCAAAGAGGAAGTAAAGTATATAATGAGAAGAGATAACAAAATGATAAGTATGATATGACAGAATGATAAGTATGATATAACAGAATGATAATTAAGTTATTAATAACAAGAATTTCATGAGAATTCGAAAGAATTAGTAAAAATCTGATTTGTAAAGAGAAAGGACAGAGGGGGAAAAAACTTTAAATTAAAATTGGTAAAAGCTGAATAATCAGTAAATTAATAAATATATAATAATAATAAGGATCTATTTTATTTATTTAGAATGCAGATAAGTGAATTTCGTAAATTATCACGTTTTGAAATCTCTCGCACACATCATAGACTTTTCTATGTAGATGATAAATGTAAATTTTCAAAAATGAAAATTTTTTCGGAGAAACGCGTGTGTGATGTGTGTGCTAATCTTGAAGAAGATAATATATAAAAAAATGTTGATATTACAGATTTGGCGACCGCGTAAATATATGCAAATATATGCCATCTCCTATATCTCTTTGAAAAGATATAAACAAATGAATGATTTGACAACTTGTATTTTTCATTTCATGTATCTCTCTATAATCATTCTCGATTATTTTTCTGATCGCGCAATGCTCGATACGGCGGCACGTTTATTTTATCGCTATGTGTGTAAGCGGAGCTCTACGTTTACGCTTGGTATTGTGATTAGTGCGGTGTTCTTTGAAAGAGCGTACGATGAAGCTTGCGAATATATATTCGAAACCGTAAATAGTGGAGTATGTTGTGATATACATATATTATGAGAGAGAGTACAGAATTTATATTGGATAATTTTAAACATTATTATACTAAGTTTATTCAAATAATAATTTATATAATTTATATTAATAATTTATATCAACGGTGCAACAAGAAGAAACATCGGAAACCTCTGCATTAGACCGTCAGTTGATACCGCGTCATAATTTCGCTAACTGCTGAGTATGCTGCTGAATATTGCGTTAAAAATGGACTTTTATTTCCAGGAGTTATTTTAAGATAGCTAAGAAAAAACGGATGTTTGTGCAATAATTTTATTTATCACATATAAATCATATTTCACTTTATTTGATAAGTGTACACATAATTTATTAATGTAATTTTCGCCGATAAATATTTTCAAAGAACTCGTTTTTGTTATATTTTATACAATTAAGCTCAAGCGGATCTAATTAAAAAAGGGTTTAAATATCCTAATAAGGAATTTTTGAGATTATTTTTAAAACTTCTATATGAATTCCATATTTAAAAAATTTTTTTATGAATTCCATGTATGATATATACGCATATATAAATTAGTTATTGCTATAATTTTTACAAAGTATGCGATCATTTAAATATTCCAAGCCTCGTCTCACACATTTCATTACATCGCGCGAGATTCACGATGCTGAAAGCTACTTATCGAATCTTCTCGGAATGCTTCTCGCCAAGCTAGATGCTTCGGATTATTTATATCGTTAGTCGTCGACGGCGTATCCTGCGATAACTGCGTAAGACTAGCCGTAAGAATGTATTAAGTTCGGTGAAGCCCCGTGGCATGAGATAGACTTCAACCACACGTATTCAAGAAAGTACGATATGATAACCTTGACCCTATGTAAAAGTATAAAATGTATTATATATTATATATAAATTTCATATAATTTCTTACGTTTTACACACACATATATATATATTCTTCTATATGTTGTGTATTTTTATATATTATATCAGTTACATTTAATGAATTAAATTCTACTTTTTGAGTCAATTTAATTAACTAAATTCTATCATAATGTGATACAAATGCACATCTCAACTGGTGTGAGATGCGTTACATATAGACGGTACTGCTGTGTAAAATATACATGTGAAGACGAGACCCCATAAGGATCACTGTCAGTATATAAGAAGACAAATTCGCTTGCTCGCGACAAAAGGTGTCGGACTGCTCAAGTGAATCCATCAAAAGAAGTGTTCAAAAACTTTAAGAAAAAAATTAGTATATCGTAAGTGTTATTACTTGTTTGAATTTATTCTATTTTTCCAAGAATATTGTATTACATTATATACTATATTATATCTTTTTAAATTAAATTCTGTTAAAAATAAATAAATTGATTTCTTTTCGTATAATATAAAAATTTACTTTTACAATTCTTAATTATTAATAGGATTAAATAATCATATCTTTCTACATTATCTTTGTGAATAATATCTTATAATATTTAAATACTCTCGTTTGTGGCTGCAGTATAATAATTAATAAATATCTAATAATATTTGAATCAAAAATTATATTTAGCAATTGAATATCAATTTACTTATTTTATTTGTAACTATATTAAAATAAAAAAGATATTTTTCTTTTGCCATATTATGTTTTACATTATTTTCTTACAAAATTTATATTTACATTTAATATTATCTTATATAAGTTTAATAGTGATCAAAGTATTCTCTGTTTCTTTATTTTAATTTAGTTTATCATTGTACTTTATTTATATATTTAATTTTAATTTAAGTACTTTATTATAATCTGATACATCCGTTTTTTACTTTTATCAGATGGCGCTAAGTCATAAAATCATCCTTTTCTTCATCCTCACCACTGCGCACCTGGCAAAAACGGAACGATATGATTTGAGGAAAAATGATGAAAAAACCGAAACATTTCAGAAAAATCTCAGAAAAGATCCATTTACTGTGGGTCCGTCTGTTGGACCCGTTTCATCTACACGCAAACCTACATATTCGAATACTCCGATTCAACCACCAAGATATTCCTATCCTTCCGACCTTTCATTTAGATTTTCTGACGTCGGTCTTCAAAGAATTGGTCGGGATTTCATTAAAAGCGATAGCATCATCAGCCTCAGTCTGGACAATAATAACATAAGCGACGTTTCGCCGTTTGCCTTCCGCAGCATGCAAAATCTACGACATTTGAACTTGTCCGGGAACAGGATCCCGAAGGAGAAGCTGCTATCGTTGACCGGAAACAACAATTTGCAGACTCTGATCATTAATAACAACAATGATACTTTCGATTGCAATGATAATTCCAATGTAAAGAAAATCCTGAAGGAATCCGAGACCTTCCAGAGTCTGGAGCATCTGCATTTGTGTAACAATCAACTACGAGATATTGAGATGCCTTTTTATATAGCAATGCCTATCCTGACTCATTTGCATTTGGGCAATAACAGCATCAGTTCTAGCAGTGCTGTCTTCGACAATATTCCGGCGTCATTGACTCATCTTAATCTGGACAAAAATCTAATCGATCATGTTGAAAAGGATAAACTCAGGTATTAATATTTATTAAATTGTTTTTTTTTATTCAACGATTTTTTTCTATTTATAAAAGAGCACCTATATAAAAAAATTGGATTTTAATTTAATAAATGTTAATATTATTGCTATTTCTGTTGTTATTACTGTTCTCGCTTTCGTTGGCATGCAATATCGTATATAGTTGTTTTTTTTTGTTATATTACTACAGCTGTTATTATTATTGTTATGACTATTATTGCTTTTATTAGTATTATTGCCAATATAATTATTACACTTTTATTATTGCTTATTATTTATTTCTTTTCCGTAATCTTGACAAATAACTGCAGGTATCTGAAGGAGCTCGTTATGAATGACAATAAGATCACCCAAGTATGTTTCGAGGAGTGTCAGGAAAACTCCATATCCCTGAGAGGCGCTATCAGAATGGAAAGTCTATTTTTATCGAGGAATCAGATCTCAGAAGTGTCGCCCGATGCCTTCAACGATATGGAGCACTTGTTGAACCTGGATCTGTCGGGCAATAAGATCGCTGATTTGGCAAAAGATACTTTTAACAATACCGTCTGGATAATTAATCTTTCTCTGGCTCATAACATTCTCGCCACGATACCGAATGTTTGTTCGATGCTGAACTTGAAGAATCTAAATTTAACTGCAAACCGTATCAATGCGATTCCTTCCGACACGTTTTGCCATTTGCAAAGACTGGAACATTTGTATTTGTCGAACAACATGATAACAACCATCGAGACTCGGGCCTTCAATCTCCAAAGTCTAACGTATTTGGACCTTTCCGGAAATCAACTCAGGCAACTTCCGGCGCAATGGATATTCCCGTGGCAGATTCAGGAATTGCATCTCGAACGAAATTACTTTACCGAGCTGGACAACTTATCATTGACAAACATCAAGTCGCTGAGGAACGTTTATCTTGATGAAAATCCCATGCCAAAACTGAATGCGGGATCTTTCCAATCGCTCCCGGGACATACGACATTGCATTTGAAGAATATACGCGTCAATGAGACGCAGATCAAATGCGTACAGGATAATGACGATGACGATGCCGATGACGATAATAATAGTGGATATTCGTATAATTAATCACAAAAAATATGAGCTTATTCATTAAGAGTTTGGCTTTTGATAATTTAAAGCAGAACATGTTCTTTTTGATATTATTGTTAGTGCTGCATTTTTTATTGTTTCTTTTTTAGATTTTATTCTGAAACAGTTTTCATACAAAATACGCTAAATAAGAAAGGCTAGAATAATGATGCATTTTTTTCGGCTAATGTATTGATGGAAGCACATTTTCTTGCGTAGTATCGATTTTTTAATTTTTGACTGTTCAATTTAAATGTTATTCTTAAAAACATATTTTATACAAAATTAAAAAATTAGAATTTATTATTTTGATTCGGATAAAATTAAAATATTTGGCGAAAAGCCAAGAAAATGGAATATATTTTTATTAATTAAAAACACATTTATTTGTACCATCGATATCTTATACATAATATCTATTTTTAGGGATATTATTTTTATTGAAAAAAACTTATAAAAGTACTTAACTCAATATATGTTAAATAAGGAATAATATTATAATTGTACTATTTCATTTCCATTAAGATATATTTCAAAAATCGCCTTTCATTACATGTAACTTTTATTCAGCAAATAATTTTACGATATAAGTAGTTAAGTTTTCAATGCCACGGAAATTAATTTTAAATTTTACAAATAAAAATTAGATAATATAATCATCATTATCGCTTCGTAGTGCTTAAATGCTTAAGAAACTATGATGAAGTACAGAGTGTTCCAATTTATTATAAGTAGTATAAGAGTACTTTATGCTGATGCTTTATTACACGCATAATCATTTAATATATGCATTATTAATATTTTTTAGATAAATGCTTTTTAATAAATGCTTTTATATTATCAAAAAAATAGTATCTCTGTCTAAATAAATGTTCTTATTCGTATGCCATTAGATCAACACATATAGACTAGTTTGTATTTGTTTTTTGTTATATTTTTTACTTTATAATTGCGTTCACATTGAGAATTCAACATAAATTTATGTAAAATTTTTCATATTTTGTCCTCTCTTGAGATTATCGTCCTTAAAAATCGTCGGAAAAATCATCGTTATAAAACTGACGATTCAAGCAAATGATCTAATAGCATATTTCCAGCGGCTTTAAAAAAAAATTGTTAAATTCTATGTTCAAAACGCTTGAAACTTTCTGGTTTTAATTATCGTAGCGCAAGCCAACAATAGCAAACCGGCAAAATAAGCGGAGCACAAGAGCGATGTGCAAGAAACGCGTTTAAAACTCGCATCATATTCTCGAGTTGTATTTCCATGACAGAATTTTTCGTTCCACTTTCCCCTTTCCCTCTTTCCTGCAGAGAAAATTGCTCCGCAGGATTAAACGCATGTCGCGTCCCGCAAAAGTAGCCGAACCGCCGAGATCTCGTTGCCTATGTACGTCATGTTTACATTACACGATAAACTTTCTACGATAAAGATATTAGAAATTGGAATTAAAAAGACAAAATATCGGAAGCTAAGAAATTTAATTTATTTATAATATAATTATATTAATCAGTTTTCTATCATGTAAAATTTCGTTCAATAATTCATCTCAATTTAATAAATTTCTCACAAAGTAAAAATAATCTTTTCACGGAAATCGATAATGATGTAATGGTGCATTAAACAAATAAAAAAAATTTTTATTACAGGAGATATCGAATCGAGAATGTGCGACAAAGGCATGAAAGTGAAGGCAATAATCTTTCATTTTACGCCTACGATAATTAAAAAAAAAATGACAGATTACAAACGAGACGTATGATTGATTATTATTCTCGATGTAAAGAGTACTTGATTAACAAAGTAGTCGTAAGAATAATCAATTATGGCACAAGCTTGTGTAAACACGTTGTACGCTTGGTATGGAACTGTAGGACTGATCGAGCCGGCTGAAGGCAAGGTGTCGAAGCGGTTGTTGAGTCTCTATCCCTTTCAGGGTGTCGGTTACGCATAGGGTGACGCGCACGCGCAACGAGAGGGTGCGCGACGCGACGAGGACCGAAAGAGGGTGGACGTTCTAGTGTGACGAGGATCGAGTCTGAAGCAAGGACGTACATAGAAACTTCGTATGTGGGTATTCACTCAGAGAAGGTGCATTAAAATTTTAATTCCGATTTCTTAATCCTATAGTATTCTCGGGTAATATTTCATATTGTGTTAAATCTGTTCGATTAATTTTTGTTTCAAAATACAAAATTTTTTATTTTAAAGAATATCAATAATAATTTATATAAGTTTTACGTGTGGTAAGAATGAGATTTTCCAGATACGTTGAATCATCCCTATACATGCTTCTCTAGTCCACAGGCACGGATGGGGATGAGGGAGAGAGAAGGAACGAAGGAGAGTGCAAGTTGTAACTGGGATGGAAAACACGGGGAGGATGGGCAAAGGCGTGGATAGTTTTGGAGAGGGGTGGAAAGGATCTAAGAGCGACGAAGATAGCAATCTGGGAGGTGCTGGAAGTAAATTCATGTAGAACAGTGGCAATCAACTGGATTATATTTGCGAGAAGCTCGATACTAAATTATCCACTAAACTAAAGGGACATTTAAATATTTTTCCTTTATCTCTGTATTTATAGAAATGCAAACTTAAGAAGCTTTCGGAAAAAAAGATTCTGCAAAAATGCAGAATCACGGATTAAACGTGTTATTTTAAGATATTTAAATAAGAGTATATATATATGTCGTATAAATTGAAAAAGTTATATATAAAAGAAAAAAAATTCTCTCTCGCTTGTCTTTTTCTCCCTTTTGATGTTTATTTAAGCTTTGATTGAAAGAATACATTTTTTATAATGATTTATACAGTCAAGTTAAAATTAATAATTAATTTTTATGTTTGTTAGTTATAATTATTAATTATAACTGTGGTTAGTTATATAATTAATAATTAGTTTTTATGTTGTTAGTTATAATTATTCATTAAATTAGCCATTAATTTTAGACTTATTTTCTTCTGCTTCTTAAATTAGTATTTTTACAAGAAAGAAATGCTTGCATTTATCATAAATAAGAAACCAAATTATTTAATGACGTCATAAGAATAGTACCATAGATTCGGTAGAGTCATGTTATGGCCATCCCTGATATAGGACGAGAGAGAAAGAAAATAAAAGGACGTACGTTGCAGAGGGAAAAAAAAGAGAAGAGGGAAGGCAGGTGGTGCGCGAGGGTTCGACGAGGACGAGGGTATAAATACGGGGTGTGGAAAAAGCGGATAGAGAGAGAAAGTGGGGGATGCTTCTAGAGAGGGTAGATATTCTACACGCTCCGTGCGCAAACGTATACAAGATGCCTCTGCGCCGCGTGAAGCGTGACGAGGAATGAAAACTATAGAGAGAGAGAAAGAGATCAAGAGCCGGGGGAGAAAAGGGGGAGAAAGAGAGAGAAAGAGAGGGAGAGAGAGACGCGTGCAGCATACGAAAGACGACGGTGGCGTTTCTTTGGTGAGGTATCACGAACGAGCTCGACGAAGAGAAGGGAGCATCATCGGTGCAGTGAAGTCAACAAGGACGGAAATAACGCCGGCGAAGCGAAGTAGATAAAGATGGAAATACCCTGGCGAGAGATACTATCGGCGCGAGTAGAGTAGACGACGACGATAGCACTATCGGCACGGTGATATAAATAAGGACGAAGAGACCACCCGAATGCTGTGGAATAGACGAGAATGGAGATACCATCGACGCGATGAAGAAGACGAAGACGAAAGTATCATCGGCGCGTCGCAGCCGACGAGGACAAAGTTAGAGCGAGACAGAAGAGATGGCTAGAGGGTGAAGAGAGGAGGGAAAGCGTAGAGGGGTGAGGGAACGAGGTGGCCGCGTCTGGCTAGCTCGAGACACCACTCCCCACTCGGTCTGGCCGCTCTCTCCTCTAGCTTCCTCTCTTTCTCTCTCTCTCTCCTCTTTCAGTGTTCGTTCGAACGCGGCCCGGTACGGTTCTACTGCCCCCGTGGTGTCGAAGGGTCACCGCTTCGTGATGGGAGCTCACTGCCGTGGTGATATTGGCGGGTTTCCTCGGTAGCCGGTTCCTGACGCCGAATGTACCTTCCTCAGGGTGGCCCGCACGGCGGTTCTAGTTCGCCTTTTCGGTAAGGGTAGGTGTGCGTGAGAGGAGGAAAGTTAACGGGGTGGAAGTGCGTGAAAAGTGTACGAGGAAAGACAAGACAGTGAGAGACAGAAAAAGCCTTCTCCAAGGCTCTCCGATGAGCCAAACGATGTCGAGGACCTCGATTAGACGACAGAGTTAAATAAGGAGGCTGGAGAAATTTGCTCGCGCTGGACCAGAATAATCAACTTGGCGGTGCAGTTGTTGTTATTCGCGGACAAGCTCCAAAACATAGAATCCCTTTGCCGTTAATAGAAACGAGCACGTCTGCGTCGCCCATCGAATTCGTTTGAGTTTTCGACATCATATCTTCGTTTGCTAATCAGTGTCAGTTAGACAAAAGTTATAACAGAAGGAAAAGCAAAAAAAGCAGCAATTTTTTTCAACTCCGATTTTCTGTCAAGCTAGAGAGCAGAAATTTTGTTTCTTGTTTCTCGAAAGGAAAGTAAACTCTCAGAATTGACGTCTCTCAAGAGCAAGTCGCGTATCGAGGTAACGCCAGGATAAGAAAATTGCTCGTCGCTCTGAATGAAGAACGAGATTCTTGGCGTATTTTTATCCCTGAAGAGACGACAATCGAGTTATTAAAAGATCCAAATTCTAATCGCAATTTTCGAAATACAATTCGCACGATATGTCCGGGAACTATTCGGTGCGCTGTGAGCCGGGTCTGGTGATACCGCTCTGGCGTCCGCAGGAGAACCTGCACCTGATCGACATCATCTTCCGGGGCCTGGTGTATTTCATCCTGCTGTTATATCTGTTCATCGGCGTGTCGATCATCAGTGATCGTTTCATGGCGGCTATCGAGGTAATCACGTCCAAGGAAAAGGAGCTGGTGGTGCGTCGTCACGGTAGAGAGCCGCAGATTGTCATCGTGCGAGTATGGAATGAGACGGTAGCTAATCTGACTCTGATGGCGCTTGGCAGCAGCGCGCCCGAGATCCTGCTGTCTATCATCGAGATCTGGGCGAAGAATTTCCAAGCCGGCGAACTGGGCCCAGGCACGATCGTCGGTTCCGCCGCCTACAACCTCTTCGTCATCATTGCCCTGTGCGTGTTCGTGATTCCGAATGGCGAGACCCGGAAGATAAAGCATCTGCGCGTCTTTTTCGTTACCGCCACCTGGAGCATCTTCGCCTATGTGTGGCTCTATATTATCCTGGCGGTCTCCAGTCCGGGCGTGCTGGAGATCTGGGAGGGCATACTGACTTTCGCCTTCTTCCCAGCCACGGTGTTGACGGCTTACGTCGCTGATCGTCGATTACTGATCTACAAGTATCTGCACAAGGGCTATCGGATGAATAAGCGCGGTGTGATCGTGCAGGCGGAGGCCGGGGATTCCGAGATAGGGGTGGAGCTGGAGATCAAGCCGCAGCAAGATGGTCTCCACAGCATGGTGGACCGCCTGGGCGACATTGACTCCCCCGAAACGAGAGAGTTCGAGCAAACCCGAAGAGATTACATCAACACCTTGAAGGAATTGCGGAAAAAGTATCCCACTCTGCCGTTGGAGCAACTAGAGGTCATGGCTCACGAGGAGGTGCTGGGCAAGGGTCCGAAGAGCAGGGCTTTCTACAGAGTGCAGGCTACGAGAAAAATGGTAGGCGCTGGCAATCTCAGCAGAAAGATCAGCGAAAGGGCGCAGAGCGACCTCAGCGAGGTCAAGGCCGAGTTGCAGAAAGCGGAGGCCGAGAGTATCGATATCGAGAATGTCAACGCTATGAGAGTGTTCTTCGAGCCAGGTCATTACACCGTGATGGAGAACGTTGGAACCTTCGAGGTGGGAGTCACCAGAGCCGGTGGTGATCTTAATAAAGCCTGCAGCGTGGATTATTGCACGGAGGACGGCTCTGCTGAAGCGGGATCTGACTATGTGAGCGCCAAGGGCACTCTGACCTTCGAATCCGGCGAGACCAAGAAGACCATCAAGCTTTCGGTTATCGACGACGAGTTGTTCGAAGAGGACGAGCATTTCTATGTCAGGTCGGTTAACTCATCGTCGTTTCTCTTGCAAAGATTTGCAATGGCAGGGCGTTCAAATATAATTTTTTGTGAAAGAAACGATATTTTTCTCTAACGCGATTTTTATCTCTATTAACGTTTCATATCCTTTAGTGGTCATGGATATCTTAATATTAAATATTTAAGTATATCTCTTTTTAAACAAAAATTTCGTTAAAGTAAATTTCATCTAAGATTAAATAGAGTTGTTATATATTTAATTACTTAAAGTTTAGTTCGAGAATTTAATTTCCTATGAAGCAATCATAATTATATAATTATTGATATTACCCCCGACGATTAATATTGCCCGAACGATCATTTATAGAGCATTTGCATAATTAAATCTTTCGATATCATTCGATATAATCGAAAGAAATTACGCTATTGAAAGATACATAATTGTTTCAAGTTACTCGCGAAAAAGGCGTGGTTCTTAAAAGCGCAACTATAGTGCATTGTGATCGCGTATCATTGATTAGCGGCAAAGGGGCAATCATTCAATTAATTTCGAACGAATGGCATCCGCAATTTCATCTGGATAAGTTGTTAATAGTCGATTTAATCAAGGATGTTAGGAGCAGTTAGCGTGACCATTCTTCTTCGTGCAATTTAAACTGCTATTGACGTTCTATTCAACACACATGTTCAAAAAGACGCTTGAGATAAATTGAGGAGAAGATGGACAAATTAGAAAACTCTTAATTGTATGATTAACATATTTAACTATATAGTTGTATTTAAATAATTTAACAATCAATGCATGTAATTAAGCAATAAAAATATTTAATATCATTTATGTTATATATTAGTATATTTTATATATACATAATTTTTTTTGTATTACCATGTTTCGTATATTTGTAATTTTTAATGTGTCAGAAATATTTTTTACTATTTCTCGGATAAATTGCTCGCACTAAAACTGAATGATGATGATGATGTCATAAGAGAACAATTATAACTAGTAAGTCTACTTGTGGAAAGAAATCCACAAGCCGTGTTGTTGCGTCACAAAAACACATTTCCTGACAGATAATGAAAGACAATTGGTGCTACACATATATGCCGACTTTAATCATTCATTACATTTCATTTCTTTTTTCTTCTTTTCTCTTTCGCTCTGTCGCGTCTTTCTCTCTCAGAGATATATACGTTTCGCTTTTAAATACAAAAAGTGCAATTAGAACGAGCAGACTCTTTTATTTCGCGCCACGATCGTAAATTGTGGGCTTGTATTGTCGGTCTCTCTCTTCAGTCGGGTGACCTGATATTTTCTGTTATTTCCAACGTAATCTCGCATGTCAGATTGCATTGTGAGGTCGCGCGAAAACCGCACATGCATGATCAATTAAATCTATAAGTAAAATGCGCACACCGACAAATGTTTAATTCAACTAATTGTAAGAAGGATCAATGAAAATAACACACGGAGGATGCTGATACGGGAATTGTTAGGTTTTTGCGTCGATTATCCTAATAAGGTATTGCCTTGATTATTAGCGTTATGTGGGTCGAGGAGAAAAATTGTTACTTAATCTTTCTGTACGTCAAGTACATACACACGATTCTGAATCTATAAATTATTACTGTAACTTATAATTTCTTTACCTCGCATGTGCGTAAATTATATTTTAACGTCAAAATATATTATTCAACTCTTTGTCGTATAAAAAATTTGTAGAAATGTTTTATTTTTTATTTTTAATGAAGGAAAAGCTATAATATATCAAAAAGTAAAATATATATATAAAGATAAAATATAAAAAGAAATATATAGTGCGGAGGAATAATTATTTAATGAAGCGATTATACTATTATGTATCTTTGCAACAGATCAATATTTTATCGTTTTATATACAAGATAGTAAATTTTTAATAGTAATTTGAAATTAATCTAATTTTTAATATATATCACACATAATATTATTATATAATTTATATAAATCCAAAATAATATAAATTATTAGGATAAAATATTTTATCACCGAGTGTATTAAATGCTAAGACTTTTGTTTAAACTTCTAAATATAAAATGGAAAAATTTTTAAGTCGAAGTACAAATAAGCAACATAATAAGGTAATCTGCTTGTTATAAGATATCAAAGAAGGTCAAGTGATAAAAATAACATCTTCGAAGAAATGTCTTGTAAATAACGAATATTCAGCGTCTAAATTATAGACTAGCTTACCCACGAACTTGATTAAAGCATTCTGCGCAGGATGACATTTTTAGATAGAAAATAAAAGAGATCTGATGACATTCAAATTACAGAATATGCCCTTACAAGCTTATCAATTCGAAGAACGAGACAAATATTCTTCATGAATGTCACTTATATTAGTTGTTGCAGAAAAGACGTCAGCTAATTAATCTAATGTTGAATTTTACCAATGATTTATAGATAATGCATATATAATATGTGCACACAGACACATGCACCTTCTTTAAAAATATATATATATATATATGACAATTTTTAAAGCAGTTTTGCCGATTTGAAAATTTTCATTATTATACGCTATTACGCGGTGAGAATTTATAAAAACAATTTCTATTAAAGTATAATATTTCTCATAAATTAATATCGTTACCTTTTTGATTTTTCAGACTCAGCAACGTAACACAGCCAGCAATGCTTGTCTCGCCGAGCCTGGCGACGGTGATGATCTTGGATGACGATCACAGCGGCATCTTCGGCTTCCCCGAGAGAGATGTGGAGCTGGTGGAAAGCGTGGGCCAGTATCCTTTGCGGATGGTACGCTACAGCGGAGCCCGGGGCCGCGTCATCATCCCTTATCGCACCGTGGAGGGTACCGCGAAGCCTGGCAAACAATACGTGCACACTGAGGGCAGCCTGACCTTCGAGGATAATCAGACAGAGTGAGTGACATAACGATAATCCCTGATGAATTATGAGATTAGTCGAGTGAAATCGATCGCGTTAAGAAGAGAAAGAGAGAGTTAATTATTCGAAATACGCGTATGCACTCTATCTTTCCGCGTCTTTATGATTCTCTTTTCTATTTCGGCCTTGGAGTCATCGACCTATACAGTGGCGGGCTTTAGCAACGAGCTCTTTGCTTTAATGACGAGTGTCGCTGGGAAAAAACAAACTTCTATTGAAGAGAAGCAAGAGATGTTTGAAAAGTAACGCAGGATCGATAAAATTCTAATTTTCAAGAAAAAAGGAAGAAGGAATTGAGTGCATTTATAAGTAATCTCTTTCTCCTTCTTCCTAAACATTGTATATAATTAATCAATACAATATCTATGGAAGAGAAATAATGAAAGATACGTAAATTATAATAAAATATATTCTACATAATATATATATATATAGGATGATTCATATAAGTAATGTTAGTGCCAATTCTCTAGTTGACATTTCGATATTGAAGAATTGATATAAACTGAATCGATACTTAAATTAAAATAGGAACAAAAGAAAATATACCGCAATACTGCAATTTCTGTTTAAGAAAATAATTTATAAGCTCAAGAATAGTGTTATTTCACAGTTAATCGTGTTAGAAATAAAAATGAAGAGAAGGCGGTTGATGTGATTTTCATAATTTACAGCTTCTCGATACATACAGAAGCTACCCAGTAGCTCGTAAGATCGCGTTAAATGAGCGTGGTAAGGTCGTAAAGAGAGGTCGATAAGAAATTCATTGCTAGAAGGGAGATATATAGGCGCATTAATATAGGCGTATATTGTATATGTAGCATCGATCAGATATGGCAAAGAGAAAATATATAAGAGAAGTGTCTATTCGCTATATATTAATTAATTTTAATTGACAATATATCTCACTAACAATATAAATTTCGTGGTTTTTATTTTAATTTCAAATATCTATCATACATACATCAAATATATATAAATGCAGTCATTGATGATTAATTGAACTCCATCATAATTATTTATGCTTATATTTTAGCGGAGTTTTAATCATATAACTCATCTAATTTATTCGGGAGATTTTTCGGTTCAAGTAGTTTTAATTGCGTTTATTTGGATGTGATTATATATATATTGTTTAGTTCTTTATATCAGTTGATAATCTCTTGTTCAAATTTTTTTGATCTTTTCCCCATTATTGACCCTAATTATTAATGATCAGATATTTATTATCGCGAATAAGAATTCGCAAATATATTTACGAGTGTATTTTCGAAATTGTTTCCCTTATTCGTGAATACATATTAGCTAACAGTACGCGTTAAATCTGTCGATTAAAGAACAAGTTGTTCTTTGCATCTTTACATCGATTTTAGATTAATATGCATTATGGAAGATTGCAAAGTCTAACAACCCACATATTAAAAGGTATACTTCGTACATAGTCGGTCAGTAGAGAAGAAACTTTCTACTTTAACTATTAAAACAACATTTTCTCGATTATAAAGAAGATTAAGAGTTGCTATTTTCGTATATCAAAGACGATAAAACATAGCAAAAATATACAGATTAATAAAATAATAAAAAAGATATAGTAAAGTATAAAAAATGAGACCAAGTATTTTATATTAGTATTAATCTCCAATAAAAGTTAATCGAACTGTGTGCTTGAAGTTCAGAAAAAATTCAAACATGACAATCTCTTCAAATAAATCTTTTAAAAATTTACGCATAAAAAAAGGAAATATTAATCTTTCTTTTATTATTGTTATCTTAAAATAGCGTTATCGGATAGTGTTGCACGATCGTATCGGTTACCGAAGGAGCTTGTAGCGAGCGTGTTACAACCGCAATGGTTAAGCACTATGTAAGGATCGATCGTTATCGCGACACGATTGGTAATTAGAAACTCGCGCCGGATAATTAGATCGGTGGATGTTATCCAATATTCATTCTCTCTAAAAAAACAATGTAAAATTACTCTCAAAAAGAGAATGACTTGATGACATTTAAAAAATCAAAATAAAAATTAAAAATCTATTCTTGTTATATCTTCTATTTTTTATGCTAAAGAGAATCTGATTTATTTTATAAAAATTTGGTTAAATTTTTTTATTGTATTAAATTAAATTCTATCACATTATGTATATTAAAAATTATGTATGTATATTAATCGACAGAGATTTACATATATTAATTGACGTATTGTTTAATTTATACATGATTGATAATTTAAATGAAATTTTCGGTCAATTCTACTTTGTATGATACCACAAATAGCCACGCCTATCGAAATTTCCCATAATAACGCTCGATCGAATACGGATGGCTCGTCTACTGCAATTAACTATGCGACAGGGGATACTGGGCGATGCTGCAACATGCACAATGCATTCCTATCGCAACCTTATCAGCAATTAGCGACTGGTATGAGACAATTAGAGAGCTAGCCTTTCATCCGTTTACATTCAAAGAACTTTGTTTCGCAAAATGACATAACTTTATAATATTAGATCGTGATTATATGTGAAAAATATTTCATTAATATTTTAAATACACTATAATTTATGTAGCATGAATTATATTTTACAGATGCAAAATTACAGATTCAATAATTATTTCAAAAGTAAGCTCTGCCTATACGTAAATAAAGTGTGCAAAAAACTTCGATGAGTTCGATGAGTCACGATATGTTGACATTTCCACATTTGCTAGATTTTAGTAAGGGAATATGTTACTTTTTAGATACTTTTTATTTAAGAAATACTTATATATCTTTATATTTTAGTTTCTTATATAATATATTATTTTATTTTATTTATACATATTATTTTATTTATACAACAAAATATAACATACATACATAAAAGCTTTTCAAGTTTCTTTTTTTAAATGTGAATATATATATAATATTTGAATATATATTACTACTTTATCTCAAATGGGAAAGTACCGCGAGACACACAACAGAACAGTTTTCGTTCTCTTGAGTAATCATAATTTATCGCTTTCGAGGGTTTCTGTCGCGGATCTTGATAAAAGAAAATGTGGCGTGCCGAACGAGAGACGTAATGTTACCCAGTCACCTTGATAAGCATCGTCTGATTGTCGCCGTCCCTCGAATAAAAATGGAGGTTTTCTGAAGTAGATAAGAACTAAGAGGGCTGTCTCGCTCCTTGGAAATGAAGCAACCGTCATCGGATTATTTCTGGGAAAAGTTTTATTAAGATTGTCACGCAAAGTGCGCTCTCCTGCGTTTTAATCTTAAAATTATTAAACCGCGCGTTAATTTATAACATAACTTTTATTTTTCAACATAATTTGTATCGTCGTTTTTAGCAGATCAATTTAAAAAAAAAAAGAAAATTTTATAGATTGACATATATCTCCTTAATCAAAGATTTATTAAAATTTTCATGGAAATATATGTGTCACGAGTGGTAAAAGATCTTTCCAATTTTGTAAATCATCCTTGTTCTTAATCTCAGCCCCAACAATTGCATGGTGACACTCGCTTCCGATACCTGCAACCCTCCAATTTCATGCTATTGTCCGCGACCCCTTATTGCTCGATTGAACAATATCGCGTCGGAACCATTTTATGAGAATTTTTTAAAAGTATTTAACGTTAAATTGAGCTTTCTTATAATTCAGGTCAGAAAGTAGATCTTTGAGAAAATCGTATTCATAAAGTTTTAAGAGTTGGCAGAATACAATTTTGAAAAAATATATTTTTCAAGTAAACCGTGTATGTTTTTAAGAAAGTATCTCTAATAATTGCGCGAAAACAACTTTAAGAAAATTTTTCTCTTTCGTAGTATCACAATTAAAAAATATTATCAGACGTTGTTCATCAATCAAAGTCGATCGTTATTGTTCTCACTTTGTTTACGATCTGAGGCAAATAATTTTTCTTAGAACTGACATTTTACATTGTACTAAATTCATTTTTAGACTCTTTTACTCTCTGGACTTCTTCTTTTCTCTACTGTGTGATTTCAGAATAAATCTTCGCGAAACTTTCCATTCTCCGGCGCGATCTACTTAAAGAATGTTCAGAGTTTGCGAAATGTTAAGTTACCTTTTGAAGTGACCCACAAACGAGATAGAAGTACTCTGTCATTGGCAAATATCGTAGCGTTGTTCATTTTCACTCTTGCGAGATAATTTTAATACAGCTTGATTTTTAAATAAATTTGACTTTAAGAATCCTTAACCGAAACCTAACGAAATCTTGTCAATGTCAGCGAGACATTCAGGATATTAAGAATTAAAAACTTTTAATTGATAGCGCTGATTTATGCTAATAAAAATATAATCAAAGTTTTATTTCTATGCAAATCATGCTGCTACCATACTTTATAACTTATTATAGTTCTACTCTTAATAATTTTTGAAATTAGACTTAATTAATTCTTGGGGAAAATACTGATTGTGCTTGAATTAAAACGGTTGCAAGAGTAAAGTCATTTATAAAATCCAAAAATATTTATTCGATAAAATATATAATTATTATTAATTATATTATAAAAATGTAATAGTTAATAATATATTCGTAAATTTTTAAATCACATCACGCAAATTTCAATCTCGAAGATGACAAATTGTCGACGAACATTGATCTAAAAATAGTATTACAATAAATTATCGATATATCAATTTGAATTTGACGAAAAAGAGAACACGGTTTACGCGAGAGAAATTAAGTTTATCGATTTAGAAGGTTCAAGTAAAATTAAAATGCTAAATATAAAAGTGTTCGTCGAGGGTGGAACTTTTTCTAAAGGACTGAACTCTCGAGGGTTTCTAATGAAGCGACGTTAGTTGATTATATTATACAGGGTGTCCAATTCTACTGCATAATTTTTTCCGTAAATCAATGTTGTTTTTTGCGCGTTTATAATTATATTTTTTTCATTTACTAGAATATTATAAAGCGCATACGCGCCATTTGTTCCTTTACGCCATATATATTATCTAATAAACCGTAAAATTATTAAAAAAAAAAAAATGTCTTTTCCGATGCACAAAAATATAAATACCTTACGAATAAAATCACGTATAAGTTATTCATTATTATAAGCTGCTGAACATTTGAATTGTTAAAATACACAATCTCTGCAGTGACAACCGTTTAACATATTCATGTAGACTTGAGAAGAGCATATGAGAATTGTGTTTGTTCTTCAAGAACAGTATATTAAACTTGCTTTAAATGAATAAGGTCACATTGACTGCAAGTTCTCTTCGAACTGTCAAAATACGCGACGATGATAGATGTTCACAAGGTATATAAGTACAATGAAAGAATTAATCGCGGAAAAGA